GATGTATCTTATACAGACAATGAAATGCTTCGTGATATTGCCAATGCTTCAGATAAAGAATATAACCTAATACATCCTAAAGTGACTTATTTGGTCCCCATATTAGGAATAACTCCACTCAGTGATCATCTTAATATCACTGAGGATGTATTTGATGATGCTGGTCAACATGAACCATTAACAACACGACTTTGTAACATCTTGAAAGAATACAAAGATGATATTACTATTATAAAGGAGATGATTCAAAATGCTGATGATGCTGGGGCAACTAAAGTCAATATATTATATGACAGTCGAACATATTCAACGCAGAAGCTGTTATTTAAAGGAATGGCAGAAAGCCATGGACCAGCACTGATTGTCCACAATGACAGCACATTCACCAAGGAAGACTTTGAAAACATAACCAAACTGGCTGGTGCTACTAAAGCTAACCAGCCACTTAAAATTGGTAAATTTGGTGTTGGTTTTTGCTCAGTGTATCACATCACTGATGTACCTTCTTTTGTTAGTGGTGAGTGGTTGTACATATTCGATCCAACGCTTAAATACCTTAAAGGTGTAGTCCATGATCAGAGCAAACCTGGTAAAAAAATTAAGTACCAGCAGTCAAGAATTTTTTCTAATTGTCAGGATTTGGTGCCTTATGAAGGTTTATTCGGCTTCAAATCATCATCAAATTATAAAGGGACAATGTTTAGGTTTCCTTTTAGAACAAGTATGAGTCAGATTAGTTCTAAAGTTTATGATGAACATATTGTAGAGCACATGAAGAGAGATTTAGTTGATTGTGGCTCTAAATTATTGCTATTTTTGCAGCACATGAAGCACATCACCTTCAGTTCACGGAGGGACAATGAGGAAATTACCCATGTGTCTATTGATATTAGTAGTAGTAATAGTAATGATTTTCAGAAAGTTGTGATCAAGTCACCTTGTATTGAAAGCAGTACTGAACATTGGTTAATAGCTAGTCAAGAAGGGCAGTGGCAACACCAGAATATCACAAAACCAGCTGTGGCCTCTGTCGCATGTCAACTTGATGAAGGAAACTTGGGTTTTTACAAATGTAAAGAAGTAGAAGGAGCCGCATTCTGTTTTTTGCCACTAGCAATGCCTAGTACTGGCTTACCAGTACATGTCAGTGCTAATTTTGCTGTAATGAGTAACAGAAGTGGTATTTGGACTGAAGTTTCATCAGATACAGTTACTGATTCTAGAGTACAATGGAACAAAAACTTAATGGAAAAAACTATACCAAAAGCTTATTGCAAATTACTTCAAAAATTGCAAGCAATGCACTGCTCAGGAACTTTACTTAACTATGAGTTTTACTTTTTGTGGCCTCTTGCTAAGCGTATGAAATATCCATATGTCTCTCTTGTTAAACCTTTGATTAATATACTATCAGAACAAAAGCTCTTCTACTCGGCTTCTTTAAATAAATGGCAGACACTAGAGCAGTCTTGTTTTATTCCTTCACCATTATTCTCAATAGCTGGTAAGTGCTCCTTTCCTGAAGAAGCTCTTTCTATTCTTCAATTACCAGTAGTTTCCTTACCACCTGACCATATGCAGCAGTTACAGAACTTGAATGATAGCCTACATGTTCTTAATGAAAATGAGTTTACTAGCTGCTTTTTATCCAATATAGCATCATTTAATGCACAAATACAAATTCGCAATGAAGTTATTTTCTGTATGTTATTGGCTATTGCCATGTCAGAGCAAATAAATTCAAATGAATATAAGAATGTTAAAAGCAAAATAAAAAAATTTCCATGCATTCCATGCTCTCCTAATGGCATAAACTTAAAGGTAGCCAACCAACTAATTGATCCAGTTGTATTTGAAGACATATTTGATCCTGATGATGCCATGTTTCCATTATTAAGCTTCTATCAAAATAATTTAGTACGTCCCATATTATTTGAGTTTGGAATGATGTCAGAGAAACTATCAATGGACATAATTATTAAAAGTGCTAAAACAATTGAATCAATCATTGTTATTGACAAAAGTAAAGCAATGAAAAGAGTAAAAGCTATATTGCAGTATATCACATCTCCCATTCCTGATGAGTTGAAAAAGATGCGATTTTTACCTGTCTTACCAAAGCCTGAAGATTACTTCATACATTGGAAGGGTGAGGGTCACATGCTACTGTCTCCTAATGAATTAATTTGTGATTCACGTAGTAAAGCAATAGACACTGCTTTCATAGTTGGCTCTCAAAGAGCAATACTTAATACTGATTCTGTCAGTGATGGAGGTTGCGGCACTGTAAGATCAAGGGTGATGAAGTTATTGGAAATTGCTACTAAGCCATCATTTGATGAAGTTCTGGAACACTTCAATACCTTGATTTGTTCATTTAAACCACCTGCATCTAATGGTCATTATGAACTTATTGATAAAATGTGTCACAAAATATATGCTTTTTTGGATGAATCACTTGATAATGTGCAATCTCAGTCATTATCAAGGTATTACAATAAACCATTTATATGGACAGGTAAAGCTTTTGTTTGTCCACGGGATGTAGCTGTTAACTGGAAACATAATGATGGCCCTTATCTTTACAAGCTGCCATCAATGCTTTCTGAAAAAGATAAACTTTTAAAGTGCCTTGATATTAAGACAACTTTTAACTATGACGACATATTGGTAGCTTTTGAGGCAATGTATAAAGATTTTGCATCTCATAAAATACCAAAAAGGAATCAAAATATTGCTTTGAGCATGATTTTAGGGTTAAATTCAATGACCAATGATTCATCTCAAGTTTCAAACTACAATGGAGATATTATACTTATTGATAATTCTTTTACTCTTCGATATGTAAGCCAATTGTCCTTTAATGATTCACCATGGCTACCACCAGACGATGAGAGCTTTTATGTGCACGATAAACTAACTCGAGGAGTAGCACTGACACTTGGTGTTAAGCCCATTCGTAGTAGGTTTTTGAATAAATTTGCCCATCACTCACAACAAAGTTTTCTTGGGGTTCCTTTTGGTCAAAAGGAAGAACTTACTCGGCGCATTAGGAATATACTGCAAGAATATCCACTGGATGCAACATTTCTTAAAGAACTACTGCAAAATGCTGATGATGCTAAAGCTACTAAAATACGAATAATACTTGACAAAAGACAGCATGGGAATGAAACAGTACCATCAGAAACATGGGGAAAAGAATTACAAGGACCTGCCCTACTGGTATGGAATGATAAGGAATTTAGTGATGTTGATTTGGAAGGTATTCAGAAGTTGGGTCTTGGTTCTAAGCGTGATGATGATGAATCAATTGGTCAGTTTGGTATTGGTTTCAATGTTGTGTATCACCTCACTGACTGTCCTAGTTTTATTACTAGAGGAAACACACTTTGTGTATTTGACCCACACTGTAAATATGTACCAGAAGCAGATTACTCCTGTCCTGGAAGACAATATAACATTGATGATTATTTTCTAGAAATTATGAGTGATCTTCAATCCAGCTTTCTTCGGATTTCACCATCTAACATTCATTTGCCTGATAATTTAACAACTGGTACTCTCTTTAGATTCCCATTGCGAACACAAAGTGGATTTGAATCAACTGAATTGTTAGACAAAACAACTCACCTTTCTGTCAGTGTAATAGAAAGGAAGCTCACTGAGTGGGTAAATGAAATTGAAGATGCTCTTCTATTTTTGAACCACATCAAACAATTTAGCTTCTATATCATCGATGATAGACATAGTTCATTAAAGCTAAGCTATGAAATAAATATTTCACAAGAAGACCAACAACAGAGAGAAGGATTCCATCAGAAACTGCTTTCTTTCAAAAGTAGCAAAAAGCCATTCATTGTGACATATCCAATACAGCTTAGTATTCTGAAGCCTCATAATGAAGAAGTTACTAAAAGATGGCTCATTCAAAATGGAGTTGGTAATGATAGAGTTCAGCCAAAGTATGGCATTGCAGCTCCTTTAGATGGAGATACTCATATACAAGGTCGTGTTTTTTGCTTTTTGCCATTGCCCGTATTTACAAATCTTCCTGTACATGTTAATGGTCAGTTTGCTCTAAATAACAATCGTCGTTCACTTTGGAATGGAGACAAGGAAGACGATAAGATAAAATGGAACAGATTCATCTTACAAGCTATAGCATCCTGTTATGCATTGCTGTTAGATAAAGCTAGATCCTATTTTATATCTGAATCTGAAAGTTACTCTTCCCAAGATGTTTCTTCCCTTGTTAACAGTTATTATGATCTTTTTCCTCTGTTTGATAAAGGTGGTGATAGTGGAAGATTAGAGGGTGACTGGCATACATTAGCTCTTAATGTAGTGCAACATCTTTATAATCATAATATATCTGTTCTGGCAATTGAAGTTAAGACGTCACAAAGCAAGGTAAAAATGGAGTGGTGTCCATTAAAAAGTGATAACGGATTTACCCAAGTATACTTTCAGCCTGAGTATGTTAAGAGTATATTACCTGTTGTGAATAAAATTCAGATGTCAGTAACTTGTGCACCTCATAATATCTATCAAAACTTTAAAGAAGTATTTGATCCTCCAGTAGTAAGTCCAGTGTCTGTATTTTCCTTTTATACTAATTTTTATTCTTTGATTTTGACATCTGGTGTACCAGTTAAGCTACAGGAAAGTCCATTTCAAACTATTCAATGCTTTCAAGATTTTCTTAAATACATTCTATGTAATTCATCTGAGTTTCCAAAATCTCCTATTGGCTATCCGCTTTTGCTCACATCTGATGATATTCTTAGAAATTTTAATGAGAATGACCAAGTTCTTTTTAGTAGTTATTCCTCACTTTTCTCTGATAGTAAAGATAAGTTCTTGCATCCAGAACTCTTCAATGTATCTCTTTCACGGTACTATTTCCTCAGTATAAGTAGCAGCAGTTTATTCAGTCATATATCAAAAATACTTGATGATAATTTACCGTCAAAATTGAAAGGAGACGAAGCACCCAGCAATGTCATTGATGGTTGTACTTTAAAGGAATTATGGGAATGCATTACAACAGATGACTACTTCATTGTTTATCAGAATGAAATTGTTCAGGAGTGGGCCTTGTTACCAGCTAGGAATAATAAACTCTACAGTAGTTCATCTGATATATTGCCAGTTGTTGAACCAGGTATGAAAGATGATGCTTTTAATATTTTAGAGGGTTTAAATGTCCCTATACTTATATCTGAAGGATATCCTCAGGCAATAATTAATTTTTGTCCTAGTATGACACAATATGATTGTATTTTGAATGTCATCTTTCATGTATGCAGACAAGATGAGCTTTGCTTTACCCAAAAAGTTACAACACTAAATGACTCACAAATTCAGATCATAACGTCATATCTCAACAAAACATCATTTTATAATGACAAGGAGATCTTAGACAAGATCCTATGCCTCCCTTTGTTCAAAAGTATTAATGGAACAGTCACAAAGTTAGTTGAAAAACATGTTTGTCTTTGGCCTGATGATCCTCAATTCCCACTAGAAGCACATGATAAGTGGGCACCTATTGACAGAATTGTCTTCTTGGAAAGAGATGGATCTTGGAAATGCCTATGCCCAAATAATTTTTTTCTTCTTGGTCAGGAGTTGTCACCTACTGAAGTGTACTGTAACATAATTTTTCCAGTATTTGACAAATTAGATTTTGATGAACGAATGTGTCACATGGAATACATAAGAAAGAGTCTTTTTCCCAATTTAAAACATGCTTTAAAAATGACAGGTGAACAGAGTGAAAAAGCTGCAAAGTTTGTTAACTGTGCAAAGAATTTGCCATTCTTAGTTTCTCATTCAAATGATGATAAACTTTATCCTGTTAATCATTTTGTCGACCATACTGTGGACATATTCAATTCATTTCCTGACAAGTTTAATTTTCTTGTTGAAGAATATAGAAAAAAGGAATGGCTTGATTTCTTAAAATTTATTGGTCTTTGTACTAAAGTAACACCAGAGGAATTTATAGAATTTTGTGATGAAGTATCAAAAAATCATTGCAAAGATACCTCTAGTGTGCTTGTGGAATATCTATTCTCAACTAAAGCTACTGATATCCATAAGTCACCCACATTATTGTCTACAATTTGTGAAATTCCTTTTGTTTGTACTGCTGATTTGAGTCTATTGTCATGGATTGCTCCGCCACCCAATAATACTGGCTTTACTTGTTTTAATGGAGCTGTTAGGTTTGATGAACTAAATGCTTCGCTTCTATGGACTGTCAAACCAGTTATACAACTACCAGCATGTTGCATGTCTGTAGCTGAAAACAAGGTACTAAATCAATTAAGAGTAGTTACTGAACCTTCTGCAACAGATGTTTTTAAAAACGTTGAAAACATTTCAAGGTCTCATTTGGCTGACTTTGAATTAATGTCAACGTATACTGTATCAAGAATTAGTGATAGTGCATCTGTAATAGAAGTTATTAAAGACAACATAACATTCATTTATAATCATGACAAAAGTCTGTTAAAGGAACTGTCTTTAGTTCCCTTTATTCCAGTCAGTGCTGAACCTAATAATGGTCGTGAAGTTAGCAAGCCTGTACTTGTAAATTCATTGCAAGTTGTTATGACTATTAATTCATCAGGATCTGAAAAAAGCACAAGATTTTGTCCTTACATTAATGCATTGCCAGTCAGTTTGCATTATTTGTCGTTTGCATTGTCAGAAGCAGGAGTAACATATAGTGTGGAACTAAAGCATATACAGTATATGCTAGAGAGGCTCCATCAACAATGTAAAGTTATTAGTAATCCCAACGATGAAGAATTAGTAAGAAATGCAATGCAAGCACTTTCTGATTTATTAAAAGATGTGACACAAGAAACTGAAAAAATACTGGAACCTTTGTATCTCCCATCAATTGATGATGAATTAGTTTTATCAACAAAGCTCGTTTATCGTGATAGAAAGGTATATTACAGCCATAAATCTGAGTGGGATTTCTCTGAGTCACAGTTTAAACTATTTAGTATTAAGAGCAGTTTTTTATTAAGAGCAGATGATGTCTTAGAGAAAGAACTGTGCTGCAAGTTACCAAGAAAATTATCTCCAAAGAGTCTATCTTCTGTTAGTCACAATAAGCTAGAATCAGGTATTATATCACTGTCCCATAGCAATTTATGTGAAAGGCTTAATTGCCTAACAAACCTTTGCTCAATTTCAGTTTATTGTGATGGTCTCACAAAAATAATTTTAAAAGTTTTACCAGATCTGTCAGAACCAAATGCTGCTTTAATGGTTAATTTTATTAAAAATCTTCAATGTAAAACAGTCACTGACTTCACTGCATGTGTAATGATTAATTCAATCAAAGTTGGTATACTTAAAGCCCAGTTTCTTTTTATATGTGATGAGGATCAAAACTACACTTTGTATAGCAGTGATGAAGCTACTAGTACTATCAGTGTAAAATTACGAAAAAGTTTTGCTCATGAACTTTGTAATGTATTGGCACAAGTTGTAAGCAATGAAGCAATAAAATTGAAAGAATTAAACGAATTAATGTTTAAACTTCTTGATGTTCAGAGTGAAGAAGATTTCAAATCAGTTATGGAAGAATATGATCAGGATGTCAATATAGATGAGTATTTAATCAGTGCTGATGATAGCAAGCCAGAGCCTGGGCAAAGTATGACAATGCACTGGAAGTCATTTCTCGATCACAATGTTAATCACATATTTCGTCCTCAAGAGTGGGTTGGGTATGAAAGACGTGATGATGATTTTATTTGGGCCATCATACTTCATGAAGTACAGCAAGAAGATGTCAATAATCATTTCTTAAGGAAATTTGTCATTCAGATTGATAATAAAGATGAAATCCATGAAGAAACTGTATCTATTTCTTGCCTGTATAAGCTTGTACGTCGAGAGGCACCAGTGTCTCCTAATCATCATCAAGAAAGAGTTCCACTTCCACATAGTGGGATTCACCAAGATACTAGTGAAGCAAAGGCTGAAACTAAAGATAATGAAGTATACAGGCTAAAGAAGGAAGTATGTGAGCAGCTTAGGCTATTGTGGAGTCTACCAGATGCTGAAAGGAGAAGAGGGGTGAGGCGTTTGTATCTGCTATATCATCCTGATAAAGCTGAACCATCTAAAGTGAGTATTTATGAAGAGGTTTTCAAATTTTTAAAGTGTCAGCTCAATCGTCTGGAGAACAATCTCCCATTGCTTGATCGTGATGTTACTCAGTATTATAGTCACCATACAGGAACTAGCTTTAGATCTCAATGGGAGTCAAATTTTAACCAGTGGGATAAAAGTGCACGCAATAGAAGATATGGACATAGTGGAAGGGGAGGAGGAGGGGGAGAAGGAGGAAGCAGTTTTGGTGGCAATAATTTTAGTAGATCTCAACAGAGCCATACAACACAAGATAGTGGAAGTTTTTTTAGTTTTCAGCCTCAAGTTGATATGATTGAGGCTAAGCGTTGGATGAGACAGGCAAAGTCTGATCTACAAGCTATGAACGATTTATTCTCGTCATCTAAAGAAGAAGTCTCATCTCAAGTCATATTTATGGCTCACCAGGTGATGGAAAAGGCACTTAAGGCTGGTATGTATGCCTTATTGGGATTGAATGAGATTTATCTTAAACGTCACGAATTGATTGTTCATGCAAGAGCTCTTAGTTCATGTGAAGGATCGCTATCACAACTAAATAATTTAGTATCTAATATGGAGCAATATTACTTAGATACACGTTATCCTAATAGACACAACAGACCAAATGCACCAGTTGATAAGTATAGTCTTCATCAAGCTTCTGATATAACTAAACAAGCTGAAAAGGTCTACGATTTGATTAATAGTGTGATACAGTAGGTAATTAATATTTTAGTTGTAGTTACTATACCACTATTGTTGTTACTATTACTTTTGATGCTATCATTACTGTTATTGATATTAATGCATTATTCAAATTTATTGGATCATATTAATCATTATTATCATTTACTTTACTATCTATGTATTAATATTGTACGTGTTGCTATAGTGTTTTCAAGAATATGCAATGTGGTACTATATTAATATGATTGTGATATTCATATTATTATTGATTAATTGATTTTAGAATTGTTATATTTAATTTTTGGTGTTGTTATATGTACCGTATAATGCAAATGTTGCAATGTAAACTATACCAAACCAGAAATAAATTAAAAATAATGTAAAATTGCATGCAATATAATTTCTATACAATTAATGCTTAAAATTGAAAAGGTAGTCTCACCAGATTTTCTAGTCTACAAATAGCAAAATAAATAATAAGTCAATTAGGGTTTTAATTAATACTATTACTATAGTTTTGATGAAGCACTTGACCCATCAAAAAGAGCTGGATGCATTCTTTTAAAATCCATGTCAATGTCATTTATTGGAAGATACTCTCTACACAACAGCAATATTTAAAACACTAATTAGAGGGATTGACCCATTGGCATGATATCCCAGTTTGTGAGAGGTCTCTGAGCCATCGCACTGCCACTTAATTACCGTCTATCTAGAAATTTTTACTGTGATTTTAATTTTACTGGATTAGAATTTTGCAAAAATTAGATTACCCATATAATTACATGCCACATTCAATAATACATAACATAGTCTTATTTAGTAAAAATTAAATCACAGCACAACTTTAAAACACAAAAATTTTGTTCCACACTAATTTCCTGATCTACGGTATTCGTGTAATAGACACAACTCATAAAAGACTGGATAATAAGTTGAGCACATTTGTTGCATGGATAAGTCACTGTATATAAAATGCAATCATTAAGATTGTGCCACACCATTAAAAAAACTATTTTAGATGTATGTGTACATGCATAATCCAATGCTAATTTTCAGACACTTACAGTGTTACAGGAGCTAAGCATAACCATATTTTTGTACATTTAATGGAAAAGAGGTATTGTAGGTCAGGATACACTCATGGCTGCAATTGTTGGCAGTAAATCCAGAGCTCATAGGGACACTGAGACTCCTAAAGAGAGAGAAGTGAGGTTTGCTAGAAGAAGACTGACCAAAAGAGCTCATAGAAGTGCCTGTCGAGGAAGAGCTAGCACTCAATCCAGAAGAGTTAAGAAGCCACGTGCTGATAGAGATCACCGTCTGGCAGCTGACAATAATTGCTGATTTAATGTTTCCTTGCAAAATAATTTCAACTATGTTCAAAATGAATTTTTTGGTTACATTGGACCAGGGAGGTTATACCATTTTAATTGCTCATTAACACATAAACATCAAAGGGAACTATTCATGATATTGTTTAAATAATTCTAATTAACAGACAGTTTAGGGTTGTGCATATTATGTGTATAACTCAATGACACTAAATGATTCAATAGTGCACCTTGTGTAAAAGGGTATATAGCCAATCATGGTTAGGAGCTCCAAATTTAATTTTTTAGCAGGTACATGTATTACTAATTCTCGTGTATGAACAAGTCTGCTAGCTATTACTCTTCCTATCTGCTCCATTTGACTTTAAAAATGGTATAATAAAAAGGTCATTGATCACAAAAAATTAAAACTAGAAATGTTATGCTCTCAGTAATTGTGTCTAACATTCTGTGTATCTTGAGTGTAATCTTTATCTCCATTACCTGATTTCCTATATGCAGCACTCAATAATTCTGAATGGATTGTGGAACTGGATTTTCTTCAAAAACCCCCTTACATTTTCTGGAATGTTAATATCTGGTTCAGCATTTAGTAGGAGCTCCACAAGTTGATGATGTCCACTGTGACAAGCAAGCATCAAAGAAGTCCATCCATTTTGGGTCTGAGTGTTCATTGGAATATTACGTTCATTGTTATCTTGATCATCAATAGCTCTGATGTGACTGAGTAACACTTCAACAACCTGGTAATGTCCATGATAACAAGCAAGGTTAAAAGCATTCCATTCATCTTTGTCTTTAATACTAATATCAGCATTCATTTTAAGTAAAAGGTCCACAATTATATGATAACCTTTAGAGCAACTTAACATCAAAGCTGTCCAGCCATAATTTGTACAAATATTAATATCAGGATTTTTACTAAGTAAAAATTCAACAACTTGACAATGTTGATTATTGCAAGCAACCATCAGTGCAGTTTCTCCATTATTACTTTGAAGTAGCTGCTACCAAAATGATGCATGAACTGAGCTTTAGCAATTAAAGGAGGTAGCCAGAAAATTAATTTCTATTGATAATATTTATACTTTTTAATTGTAAAGTACTTTGCTTCTTCAGGAAAAAAGTGTTCTATTAATTTTTAAAAGATTTTTCATGGTTCTATTTGTCCACTTTCCCAAAAGCTTCAAAGCAACTTCAGGATCAGTTTTAGAACCCTCTTTAGTCAACACAGCTTCAATACTAGTCATTACTTTAATCTTAGCAGAATCTGCAAAACTTTCTAAGCATATGAACAATACTTTAACAACACATTCTGATCATTGATGGGGCATTCTTCCATAAGATCAGAATCAATACAGAAAAAGTTATAATGAGGTTGAAAAATGTTAAACTATTAAAAATGGTAAACTATTAAAAACGTTAAACTATTAAAAATGCCAAACTATTAAAAAGTTGAATTAAATCTAAACTATTGAAAAATAACAATGTCTAATACCTAAACCTATTTGTCTATTATCACATATCTGAGTGTGCATGACTTCATTTATTCTTGCAGACACAGTGTGGTGATCCAATCAGATTCCCATTGCAAAGAACATTTAAAAAATGTTTGCCATAGCATTCACATATCATGCAATAACTAGACTATACAGCTTCGTCCTCCCACTGTTCAGGTTCCATGAGCGTGAGAGTGGAGAGAATCTTTTTCTTCCAGACCAATAAATCTACATGTGATAAAATGACATGAAAACAGCTTAGGCCACTTAAATCCATACATTGTCTCTCCTTTTTAATGGGTTGAGGCAGGGTATGTTTGTTGATCATTCATCATTGTAAATATAAAATGATGGGGTATATAGTTATGGCAAAAAGTGTTATGGATAATTAATGTCTAATACTAGTAGGAACAATCATATCAAAATGGTTTAATAAAGGGTAAGAATTTATGACCTTTCAGGAAATTCAAGTGTCTGCTAGTCTGTCACCTTTGTTAATTAATGCATGTTAAAACTGAATGTACTTACACTGCACCGTGGTCCCCATTTCCAGTAACATCTTATACTTCTCTTTTTCCAATAAGCTCCAAGAGAGATTCCTCCACTATTAGTTCCATATACCTCAAAGCAAGCATTAGCATCTCCTTTAGGAGGTGTATCACAGACTGTGGTCGATGCCTTTGGTGTTATGTGATAGCCAATATTAGCTGAGACACTCAATCCTATCTTGTATACCCCCTGCTCAAAGGAAGATAAATTAAAAGATTGCAAAAAAACTCTCTCTTTCTCTCTTGTTTATTCTTAGTTTCTCTCACCAAGACATTAGCTTCAGCTTGTCCAGTAACAGTAAATGTAGGTCCAGTTGTTAGCTGAGCTAGTGATGCCCCTGTTGTATTGTAGTCATTTTCAAGATGAGCTATATTAGCATGAAATTTCATAGTTCCACCAATGTACCCAGAAAGAGTCAGTCGCAAGGTACCTACGTATATCCAGAAAGAGTAACCAGTGCTGAAGACGCGGACAGACTTGTGCCATGAACGAGTGTACTTGTAATTATCTGTGGTGCTGTCGTAATCATTCAAAAGTGTATAACCCACTATCTTTATGTAATGCCTGTAAGTTAAAGTGCTGTCTGATTCATTGTCAGGAAAAGTTTGTAAGTAAGAAAATAGCACATCAAGACCAGAATAAGTACTTGACCAGGCATGTAGACTAAGTTTTGCTCGTGCATACAGTTTGACACCAGTATAACCCATGCCTCCAAATCCTCCTGCTACTATATTAGCATACACCTTTGAAGATCCTATCTTTTGAGCCCACAAATAACCTCTGTTTAGAGGATAAGTTTTCATGTCACTCCTTCTCTGAGATAGTGATTCAATGAGGTTATAATTAGAATCAGAATGAGAGGCCCAGAAGGAAGAGCTTCTCTTTCCACGGCTATGCATATTAACATCACTTGACTCTAACCCTTGCTTCAAAATTTTCACAGAGTTCCCATCATTAATAGCAGTGAAATACCGCTTTAGAGAATCTGTCAGTTCATCCTCATTGTATTTGATACCTGCTTTAATCAGTGCAGACTTTAGTTCTTCCCGAACTATGTGTTCTTTCTTTATCTTATATGAATAAATGGAAGTTTTGAATGGAAACATTAAACTCTCAACCACTTCAAGAACTACTTGAGGATGCAGGGACTCTGACACAACTGTGGTAAATTCATTTTCTACTGCATCATCCATTGAGACTCCTCTCAAAGCATCAATGGTGTGTGCTTGATAGGTAGCATCAGAAATAAATGGCTCAAGAATTGGGATTATTTTCTTAGAAGCTGTGTTCCCAAGAGCATGAATGAAAACAGAAATCTCTTCTGGAGTGTCAGCAGATGTTAATTTTACTAATAAATACCTAACAATCTTCTCTTCCACATTAGCATGACGACCGAGCGTACCCAAGGAAAGTATGAGTTGATTAGCAATGTAATCATCTGAATTTAAAGACTCATATTGACTGATTAGGGAATCAACAGTACTAGAATGCACAGAAGGCATTAAAGCAATCTCAACCAATAGACTAGTGACTTCTGTTGAGCTTAAGTGAGCTTTTAGCATATCCAATAGTGCCTAGTGGAAAAAGAAAATATTATTGTATTATGTGGATACATTTAAATGTGTGTCTACCTTTTGTGATTCCAAATTGCTGACTGAGCTTAATAAATGGTATATCAATGTCCTTTCAACGCTTGAATTATTATTTGTTTTAATCTATAGAATATGCACATAAAATATAATAATGCAGTGTTACATTTTTTTCATGCATATACATGTACTTTTGTTGCATAGCAACTTTTAGCTAAATCCAATCAATTTTTTAATTTTCAAAAAGTAGCAAATTTTTTGAAAAAAAGCAAAAAATGCATGAAGTCTTTCAAATTGGTTTTTTCCAAAAATCACCTCCAAATGACATTAAATTTTAAAATATATATTGATGTCCTTAATTATGCTAGGCGCAAAATGTTTGAGCTGATTCAGACGAATAATTTTTGAGTTATGAGCATTTTTAAAATTTTCCAATTTTTAGAAAAAAGCATAAAACTACCCCATGGTTTTTTCCCAAAAATTGCTCTAAAATCACCCCCAATTTTCATTAAATTTTTCGATACATATTGATGTCCTTATGTGATGTAGAATGCTTGAAGTGATTCCGACAAATAATTTTTGAGCCATGGGCATTTTAAAGACAAGCCAGTTACATACCTCATTTAGTCTTTGCAGTAATTGTGGTAATTTAGCTTTAGTGCCAGGTAATGCTCCATTCTTGGACTCTAGCTCTAATAATTTTCTCCACTTATCTATTAATTGTACTATACACCAAAAAAGAAATCAATCTAACTATCTAACTGTAAATATACTTGTTGTTTGCGATTCAGTATCTCTCTGTATTCTTTTAATGGTTTCATCAAAAGATGGTAATTCATCAATTAACTCGCTCATTGCCTCTCTATCCTCCTCAACTATAATGAAAAAAATCATATAACTTATTCCTATAATTAAGAAAATAATACAATATAACTAGCGTAACTCTAGCACAATTATATTTATATGTTCAGTGATAGGTTAGCAATAAATTATCATTATACCTTCATTAATAGTAGCCAGAATATCCCCAGCTGTACACTCATGACTTGCCATTATAGCAGTGAGCTTTTCAATAACATCTTTCTTTGGTGGTTTATAGCAGCGAGACAGCTTAAGCTTGTAATCACTGATAGCTCCAAGAGGAGGCACTGCTTTATCATTAGTATCTGATGCAGTAGCTTTATCTTCTTCCTCTGCTCCAAGCTCAAGGACTGACTTCCCTTCAGAAAATTGTATTCTTTTCTCGCTGTCTATCTCAAGCTTATCATGCTCATGAAAGTAAAGAGTCTTTTCTTTATCTTCAATGGAAGCTTTTCCAGCATAAACAGACACATCACGAGAGTCAATCCTTCTTTCTTGAATCTGTTTATTGCCCTCAGAAAAATACCTGTAGACAAAAGTAAAGAAATGCAAAACAACAATACTGTATCTTACTTGTAATGTGACTTGTGTTTTGATTGTGAATCAGTTTCAGTAGTGACTGGAGTTCCTCTATAATTAGCTTGAAAAGTGCTGGCAATGCTCTTCTTAAAATTAACAATCCATTCTTTTTCTTCCTTAGGATGAAACACACCCAAAATTTTACCAGTTTCTGAACTTTGAGCAAAACAGAACCATTTGTCCAAGTTTTTTACTGGAGAAACATTGCTAAATTACAGTTAAATACCAGTAATTGTACATTATAGTAGTCTATTTCATTCAATTACTATCTAATTTTAAATAATGCATAATGATCCCTTGATGTTTACTCACACAATAATATCTCAAAACTTACTCTGAACTAGTGTCTTTAGTTTCATGCTTAGTAATTTGAGCAACAGCGTCTTTAATATTAATGCAATAGCGAACAGCCTGCTCACTCTTAAATTCACCAACTAAAATATAAAAAACAATAATAATATTGAAACATTGCATGCATTTGCAATAGCATTTTCGTATTTTGAATGTGTATATGCTATACTACTGACATGATTCACAATATACGTAAACAGTTGCAGTGACTTTATTTTCTTCTCCTCCCTTTATTCTTGAAACAACACTGTAATCATAGGAGCAGCTGTTACCATTCTATTGCATAAAGGAAAAATGAGTTCTCACAATAGAATATAAGTCCTTACACTGCAATGACTAATCTTCTTGTAGACTTCACTGACAGCAGCACCATTACTGGTTATAAAAACAAGAAAAAGAGTAAGAACTACCAATACAATCCTTTGCATATTTCTTGGAGGATATTAGTGTCCAGACAAAAAATATAATTCACATGTTCTCTTTATATAGACATCATCATGTGATGTATGTATATAAAAGAGAGTGGGTGTGATATTAGCATACCATTTCATGATTATGATTATGTGCAGTTGCTAATTCATTTATGTTTTTACTTTGTCAATATAGCTTGTCAATATTTCAAATAAATGAGCAGTAGCTTTAGTTAATTTCAACTAGATAATGAAAAACACAGAATGGCAAATAGAAATTATCTTTGCATGATACATATAGCTTTAAAACCCAACATACAGGCATTATGTTGCTTTTAACATTTTCCCATGCTACCTTAATTTGTTGATGCCTTGTTGTGCCAAACAACATGCTGCCTTAAAAGATCAAAGGTGGCAAACATGGCTGCTTATAGCATACATGCCTAAATTTTGAAATAACCCTTTCTGTTACTCCTGCTTTTAGTTATATTATTATCCATCAATAAGCTAGTAACTTTAATTACAGGTACAATATCTTGCAGTTTAACTCTCAGTATATTTGTGAGTACGGTTTAGAAATTATGATTGTACCGTATGTGTGATTCAAGGATCCAGTCACAAATAATGTCAAGAATGTCCACTTTTGATAATGTTTATATTACTTTTTGAGCAGCTGGCATAATCATAAACCATCTGTAAAAACAACAACAACAAAGCCTGCCTGCAAGCAGACCATCTGAAGCAATGATTGTTTCCTCCAAAATTATTTTAGTTTTATCAAAAACAGCTCAGTCACATGTGCCACAAAAACAATGAACAAATGGTACAGTAACATCCTGGCAAATGAAGAATTTCTCTTAGCCAATTTAAATACCATGTACTATAATGCAGCTCAAAATGTACATTCTACTGCCAAAAAAGTCTCTTGAATTTAAATGAACTTTACAATCAATTGATCAGTTGAAGTATTAATATATGCATTATTTTACAATTGTAATTGACTTCCAGGCAGAACTTAGTACAGCCATATAAATAAAAAAATCTGAAAGAAAATTTCAAATTCTAAAAATAAATATTGAGCTGTGGAAATAATTCCAATTGATACACAGTTTAGGGTTGTGTATAGATGTGTATAACTCAATAATATTCATGTGATTTAATAGTGTACCTTGTATACAAGGGTATACTAGGCTCCAAATTTTAATTTTTTCAGCTGGTGTATTTCTAATTCTCATGTGTTGAAAAGTCTATCTTTCTTTGTATCTACTCCATTTTGCTCTGTTACAAATGGTATACTAAAAAGGTTATTAATCACAAAAAAATAGAACTAAAAATATTATGCTCTCAGTAATTGAGTCTAATATTCTGTGTATCTTCAGCAGTATCTTCATTATCTGATTTCCTATATGCTGCACTCATTAATAATTCTGAACAGAACTGAACTGGATTTTCTTCAGGGTAAGGTATTGATCGTATCAAACTGATATTTCTTGATATATCACTTTTTGAGGCAGATACAGGTTGATGTTGAGTAGCAGAAATTGGTTTGTTAGTAGAAATTATCAAGTCTACAATAGCAGTTTTGAGAAAACTCTCCTCCTTGTTAAGCAGTATGTCTAGTACCATTAAACCATTATCATCAATTTTTCTGACATCAGCTCCGGCTTGTATCAGTGTCTCGACAATTTCAATGTGTCCACATGAAGCTGCTATCATCAATGGAGTTATACCACCTGCTAATGGAGTATCTGGACTCATGCCAACTTCAAATAACATACTAACTAATAATCCTAGATCTCCTCCAGCAGCAGCTAACAGTAGCTCTCTCACATTACTTGAGCTCAGTATTTTGTTTGATAACAAGATCATCACTGAAGAGCCACCACTATAACAAGCAGCTACAAAAGCATCTCTGTAATGCTCCTGGGAGACTTCACATTTCTTCATGATGATTTCCACAGCATCAGGATTACAATAAATAGCTGCTAGTACTACTGAATGAACAGTGACATTTTTGATTTGGTGCATGTGACTAGGATGATTATCAAGTAATTGCTCCATAATATTCAAATAATTTGGTGTTTCACAGCCTTTTTGTAAGACAAATGCAAGTGCCATTCTTCCATCATTGTGCTTGATCCTAAGATCAATATCTTCATTTAGCAGAAGTTCAACAACACTAAAATGACCATTGTTGCAAGCAAGCATCAAAGCAGTCCATCCATCCCTATCTTGCTTGTTAATATTTGGTTGCTTACTCAATAAAAGGTTAACTACCTGATAGTGCCCATTGGCACAAGCAATCATCAAAGCAGTCCAGCCTCTTACATTTTCTGGAATGTTAATATCTGGGTCAGCATTTAGTAGAAGCTCCACAATTTGATGATGTCCACTGTGACAAGCAAGCATCAAAGAAGTCCATCCATCTTGGGTCTGAGCGTTTATAAGAATATTACATCTATTGTTATCTTGATCATCAATAGCTCTCATGTTACTGAGTAACACTTCAACGACCTGGTAATGCCCATGATAACAAGCAAGATTAAGAGCATTCCATCCTTCTTTGTCTTTAATACTAATATCAGCATTTCTCTTAAGTAATAGGTCCACGATTATGTGATAACCTTTACAACAACTCAACATCAATGCTGTCCAGCTGTAATTTGTAGCAATGCTAATATCTGCATTTTTACTCAGTAAAAGTTCAACAACTTGGCTGTGTCCATTATCACAAGCAACCATCAGTGAAGTTTCTCCATTATTACTTTGAACATCTACATCTGGATTTTTACTAAGTAACAGCTCAACCACATCATAGCAACCATCTTGACAAGCAAACATCAAGGCAGTCCATCCTTTATATTCTTGAACATTAATATTGAGACCTTTTCTTAGCAAGAGCTTAACAACTTGAAAACTCCCAAAACGAGATTCTGAAGCAATCATCAAAGCAGTAATTCCTTTACTATTTTGAATGTTAATATCTGGGCTCTTACTCAACAAGAGGTCCACAACCTTAAGATGTTTAATTCCAGAAGCAATCATTAATGCAGTGAATCCTGAACTGTTTTGATAATTAATATTCAAGTCAAATTGCAAAAGTAATAAGACTATTTTCTCATATTCTTCATCTTGGTCAATACTACCAATAGCATGTAGTAATGACTCCTCGAAACAAAATTTAGCATAGTCTTCAACCTCATCAATGATGGTTTGATTGTTAATGGTAAGTTTAAATATACCAAAATGATGCATGAACTAAACTTTATCTTGTGCTTTGGGAATTAGAGAACGAATGACTTTATAAGACGCAGCCAAAAAATGAATCTCTATTGATCCTGTTCGTATTTTCTTGATTGTAAGATACTTTGCTTCTTCAGGAAAAAAGTGTTCCAATAGTTTTTGTAGATTTTTTATGGCTCTATCTGTCCACTTTCCTGAAAGCTTCAAAACAACTTTAGGATCAGTTTTAGAATCCTCTTCAGTCAACGCAGCTTCAATACTAGTCATCACTTCACTTATCTTAGCAGAATCTGTAAAACTTTCTAAACATTCGGTATATTGACAATACTTTAACAACACATTCTGATCATTGATAGGATACTCTTCCATAAGATCAGACAACGGGTCAATACACAAAAAGTTATAATGAGGTTGCAAAACATTAAAAATTTCGTCGACTGTTGTACCATCATGAACAAGACCAGTCACTTCATAACTTTCTTCTATCCAACGGGCAATATCAATCACATCATATTCTTTACTGCTTGCATAAAACTTTCTAATATCTCTAACTAGTCCTGGAAACTTCTTGAGGAGATTCTGAAACTGTAAGGATATCGCATGATCAGAGCTGAACTCAATTTCTGTAGCAGATGAAAGCTTCATTTTCTTGCATAACAGCAGTGTAAATGATACATGATGGCTTTTGAACACCTCCTGTTGCCAATCTTCAGCAAGAGCAAGTGCTTCCTCTCTAGCTGGTCCTTCTGCAATGGCAAGACACAATAAAAATAACTGACATTTTTCTTCAAGTATAGAAACATCTTCTGTGTGCACAGAAATCAGCGACAAAAAATCAAGTTCTATTTTTTCAAAGGTAGGCATGTTTCGAACTTCTCTATTAATTAGACCTTCACTGTACATTTTGTCAGCTATTTTTTGGAGGCAATTTTCTGTGGCTTCTTTTAATGTGCAATAGCGACTTCTCAATACATCCTTTATTGTTTTACATGTGCTTTTACCTGTTTCTGATATGAAATGAAAATTAATTCTATTAATAAATCTTATTATAAATAAAATCTTACTAGAATGTTTTTCAAAGATTTGTCGTGCTAAAGTAACTTCATTGGAACTCAATAGAGCAATACAGATATTTCTCCATGTTAAATGAGGATTACTATGGCAACATTGAGCTACAGCATCAATGCAATTAAAAGGACCGGCTTCATTCTCCTCCACGTTCTGCTTAATACCAACAATGACATCTTGTGTCACGTTAGGAAGATAACAAACAAACTGTTCCCAAGTACCAGCAGTGAACTTTGAGCTACTCAATAACTCAACCAACTCATCTTTCGTTGGTTTGTCTGTGTACAAAAAATATATATAATTGCATTACAGAGTTATAAGCAGTAAGTTTACCTGTAAGAGTAGGTCCAGGATTAAGTTCCACATCTCCTGATATTAAGAGTAGGAGAGCAATCAGAATGAAACATGTGAAAATCGAGGCCGTGAAAATAGATAAAACGAATATAGATCTGGAACGAGATGTTCCACTGGCTTCTTTGGCTTTACAGTAGGTGCTGCTACCAGCAGCACAGCCATGGGGTTGTGACAACTGGGAACAGCTCCAAGAACCTATTATAGCTCTCCACTGGCATATATCAATCATAGTATATGGACTGGTGGGAGGAGCCCTACTAGCAGGGTAGCACTAGCAAGTTAAAGAGTATTATGCAAAAGAGGTGGTAACAGTACTAACATAGACATCACTCTATTATCATGTATCTATGGTGGTGACAAGCAAAAAAGAACCTTTCAATCTTATCCTGTTATGACATAATCATAATATTGACAGGTATAATGTTACAAAATTGAAAAGTAAAGAAAAGAGACTCTAGTTATCACAGGCTTCTAAAGTAATGGTAGATAAATGAGGTGTTTATCTGTTTTAAATTGATGAATGACAAGTGGTTATTAATTATGCTCAATATTCTGTGTTGATTGGCTTCGATGTAGCAGTCCCTATAGCATTTGAAAACATCACTCATATCATTAACATCAAACATAATTATTCATGAATGGCTTAAAATGAAAATAAAGTATAACTGTTTTGAACTTCTCACTTTTGATAAACCATTTGTTTACATAAGGGTACTACAAAAAAATAATCAAATCAAAACTTATGTATACTTATCATATTCAACATCTAATGTAGCATAGCCAAATGTCATAATGCGAATCTCTACACATATAATGCAAATTTTTGCAATGTAAACTATACCAAACCAGAAATAAATTAAAAATATGTACAATTGCATAAAAAATTATTTCGATACAATTAAATTAAAGCTTAAAATTGAAAAGGTAGTCTCACCACATTTTCTAGTCCTGCTATAATAAAATGGTAAAATAAATAAATCAATCAGGATTTAAAAATATATAATTGAATTAAAAATTAATACTGTTACTAGAGTTTTGATAAAGCACTCGACCCATCAAAAAGAGCAGGATCCATTCTTCTAAAATCTATCTCAATGTCTTTCATTGGAAGATACTCTCTATACAGCAACAATAACTAAAACACTAATTAGAGGAATTGACCCACCTGCATGATATCCCAGCTTCACTCAATAGCTTTTGAGAGTAAGTGGTCTCTGAGCCATCGCACTGCCACTTGTTCATGTAATGGACATGACTCATACGAGACTGGATAATAAGTTGTGCACATTTGTTGCATGGATAAGTCACTGTATATAGAATGCAATCATTAAGGTTGTGCCTGTTTGCCCATACCATGGCATTGGAAATGGCATGACACCCTAAAAAAAACGACCATAATAGACATTATGTACAGGCATATTCCAATGCAAATTTTCAGATACTACTACAGTATTACGCAGTAGCTTAACATAACCATATTTGAAACGAGATATTTACAATAAGGATAATTAATTGAACGATTATTCCAAGAGGGTTAAAATAAAATGCTAGTTTATAGTTTATATTACATGTACATTGCCATGTACACTTGTATAATCACAAACATAATATCATAAGAATTACATTAGACATAACCACATGAACTGCATATATATACATACACAATTACGATAGAAAACTCACTACAAAAATAAAACTCACAGTAGTCAGGACAACTGCTATCAAATCCATCAATTACAGTATGGTGACCAACCCCAACTACTATCTTACCATCAGGACTGACTATACAGGAACCAATCTGAAGCTATTATAAGAGGAAACATGCTAGACTCTGTACAATAGTCTCATACAAACCATGCTGTTTGAGTCTTTCTGCCTTTTCCCAGCGAGTATAGCAGTTCCCATGAAGTAGTCGTCCCATCTGATGCACTGAGGTCTTCTAGTCATTGGCAGGGACTGTTCAAGAGCACTAAAAAGAAGACAACAAAGATTAGTGTTTCAACTCTCCATTTTAAATTCAAAGGTGCGGCTAGTTATCAAATTTAAATTTAATTTTTTTGCGACATTTTTGCGCATGCGCAATAAAAGAGGGCGTGGTATATTTACATTCATGCCCCTCCCACCATCATTCTCTCAAGATGGCGGCTCAAAGGGAGCAAGAGGAGGAGACACTTTTCAACGACGAAGACGCCGTTAGCAAGCTAGAGGCCCTCGTCTTTAATTCTCTGAGTCTTGGGCAGTGGGAGTCAGCCCGCGGTCACCTCATATCTCTCTCTAGCCACGAAAAGGGACGAAAAACCGTCAAAGAAATTTTAAGATCAATTGTACTCAATCCTAAAGCAGTTTGGTAAACAAATGCAATCACATAAATGATTTTTGCATGCTTTAGAGTCACTGTTTGTAGCTGAACTAACAATGATTTTTATGTACACAAGCTTGTGACTTTTAGGGGGTGTTGCCACTACATGTACATGTAATTCTGATCGATTGCAATTTAATTTTGCAAACACAATGGGCTATGTAATAATGAATGCATGTTATTATTATTATAAAATTGCATGTACATGTACATTATATAGCTCTAGTCCATTGTTTATGAATGTGTGCACAATGTTTTGTACATTTTGTAATTATATGTCTTCATGTTTTGTACATAATGTACATGTACATGTATAATTATTAATTGTAGGAGTGAGTCAAAGTCCATTCCATCAGAGAATCACTTAGTCCTACTCGCTCTACAGGCTCATGCAGAGCTATGCCAAGATGATGTGGTATGTTCATAGACTCCATACAACATGTACAATAATACATGTATAGTACATGTACTTAAAAGGTTTTTCTTGATAAAGGTGTACATGTATGTGTGCATGTACATGTAATTATAATGTTATTGCTATGCACATGCACTTAAGGAATATACATACATACATGTACAATTGTACATGTACATTTATATTATGCTCAATAAATGTATGTGTATGTACGTGTAAATTTGTAACAAAACATTAATGACTTTAAGTGCTAATTTTTGTTTTTGTTCACTTTTTGTGTTTTTATTGTTATCAATAGGAAGGTATTCCCTCTGCTGTTCAGCGTCAACATGAGTTTAAGCTCCTCCTTCATTCCTGTACACTTTGTGAAGGATACACAACTCAGATAAGCGTAAGATAATGAAAATGAAAATGATAACATTATTTTCAATAGTTACATGCATGCACATGTACATGTAATGGTACATGTAATTCTGCTTCCTACATGTATATGTATATATACACGTACTGTACATGTAAATGTACATGTAGTAGATTTTTAAATTACTATAGTTACATGTAGGATTAAATCAAACTTTAACATTCCACTCAAAGCGTGTACTACAGTATTTCAATATGCCTATTGCATGTACATGTACATTGTATAATGTACATGTACATATACCCTATTAATGGCTATTATCATTATTATTTATTATTATTATTATACCATATATGTATTATTACATAAGTGTATTCCCATATTAGGAGTGGTTATACGGGTATTACACTACGCATTGTGTTGGTTCTACTCCTCACTCCCTCACTCCTCTACATACCTTCCATGCTACCATACAAAAGTTCCTCCTGTCAGTCCTTCAATCCAATCCCTCTGTGGCCCACGTCCTCATCTCTTACCTAACAGTTGCTAACAGACCCCATTACTTAACCAACAACGAGTTACTACAGCTACTCTACATTGACTGCATTGATAGTTACCTTGGAAGATTGGAGAAAGTTTGTCGTAAAGCCTCCACTACTGAAGACCCAAACTTGCATAAGGATGTAGCTGAGCTAAGCAGCAAGATCCACTCCATTCTCTCTTTAGTCGATCCTCTTCCAGACATGGGCCGTTTCTTCAAGCGGCTTGATAGCACACTTGTGAAACTTATCCAATTGGATTTCAAGAACTCCAAGAAGGAGGGACTTTTTACTTTTTCTAGCCTGTACAGTTGTTTTGTGGGTAGATCTAGCCCTATGTTGATACAGAGATTGCAGGATATTGAGGAGTATTTGAAGGGGCACAGTGGAGGACAGGTGGAAGAGGAAGTGGCTAAGGAATATTCCAGCAATGAGGAGAGATGGGAGTCTGAGCTGTACAAGACACTGAGGTCTAATCATCATTTCCTTGAGAGAATAATGGTAAGAATAATAAGAGTTTTTTTGAATGTATAATATGTCATCTGAGCATTGAGTACATCCTGTATACTGTAACTGTACATGTACATTCAAACCTCTACAATCAGGACAGGTACATGTAGTAGCAGTCCCAATTATACAATGTACATGTATGTGTGTATTAATGAACCTCTGAAATATAAGACACCTTATAGTTTAATTGGGTTCTAAGGTGTCCGGAATAGACAGGTTTGACTATATGTGTACATGTACTTCTATAGTTCAACAGCAGTCACCATCTTTTAAACAAGTAACTCCTACTGTTGTGCACATACTGTACATGTTTAGTTCATGTATGTCTGCCTGAAAATGTACTTTATGCCTTCCATTGTTAGGGTAAATTGCTTTGTTTTTGGATTTGAGACCAACCACGTTAACAAACATTATCTACATAAATACATAATACTTGTACATTAAGTGTACATGTACTTATATAGACTTTCAAAAATGTATGCACAATTGCTCATACATGTACATGTACATGTACATGTGCATGTGTAGTTATGCACTGTACTGTATGTACAATGTACATGTACATGTACATGCAAATTAAATTAATTTGATTTACAAAGTACACTACATGTCTTAATTGTTTCTATTACAGGATGCTGGGCTCAAAGCGATATCATCTGGTAGTACAGATAGACTGGCTGATATTTTTAGTGATCCGATGCTAACCTGTATCAAACCATTGCTGCTGTTACTAGGATGGGACAGATATCCTGATGTGGGAAGTGGTCAGAAGTTACTCGATGTATTGTGGCCAGAGGCACAAAAAGCAGAAGTATGTTTAGTTAACTATAGTTGTACATGTACATGTACATGTATTGGAAAATATATGAAAATTTGAGGCAATACATAGCTATTGTACATGTACAGTACATGTACATGTATATGCTTTTTTGAAAAGTTTGCTAATTTTAAAAATGTTGTCAGTAGTGGTGGGCGATGTATCGATATTTTATCAATACAAACGTTATTTTATGGTATCGATTTGTATGGTATCAAAATTTTGAAGGAATCTAGATCGATAGTCGATACTTTGACTATGCCCATTTATTTAAGTTAAATAGTATAATACTCACACATGGATACGCATGCATGAAAGTGTCGCTGAAAACAGTCAACAATAAGGGGTGTGACTCCATAGGTGTGGTCTAAATATCAAATGGAAACTGTGTCAATACTCCCAATATGGGCATAATATCGATCAGTATTGTATTTGTGATGGGCGATATAATTCATTCTTTATTGATATAAACAATATTTTACAGAATCGATTTGAATCATTATCAAAATTTTTATGCAATTTTCATCGATCTATTGACCATGCCCATTTATTAAGATTAAATAACTAATTCTAATAAGTAATTGCTCTGTTGAACTGCAAGAAAGAAGCAACTGACCAGTTGTTAGCTCAGCCTACTTCAAGAAGAAGAGAATCAAGCTCAAGAGCATGAAAATTATCTTTTCTCATGACATGTACATGTACAGCAATATCTGTGCCAAAATCATTAGCCACACCCTTGACATACCTCAGAATGAAGGTGTGGTTATCGTATCGTTAATAATCGATATTTCCTTTAAAAGTCCATTATTGATTATTATTATTGAAAATTGCCCATATTGCCCATCACTATATCGTATCGAATCCATTTTGGCCAGTATCGCCCACCACTAGTTGTCAGAATTACATGTACATTGTACATATACTGTATGATCATGATGTTTATTATGCTATTAGGGCAATTGTAGTGAATTGCCCATTCAAAAATTGGTATTTTGTTTGTGAGAAACTTAAAGTACTTTTCATTTCTTACTGATCCTTTATAAATGTATGCAACGTTGCAAGGCTATCGTGGGTCGGACTCTAATGATATTCATGACTTCTTACTGAGGCTTGTACATGTTGAACATGTACAAGCCTCATGTAGTTGTACATGTTCATGTACATGTAGTTGGAATCTATTCAATTTTATTTATAAATTATGCTTTGTTTTTTTCCCTTTTATTCTTTTTCTATCTTTTTTCTTTAGCCTCTACTGTTGTCTGGTTGCTGTAAACTTGCATTTCAAGTTGGTTTGGTCCAGTGGTGCCTACAGAAAGCAAGGTACAATGTACATGTACATTACTATAAGTGTCTGTATAATTGTTCTTTGTAACAATCTGATAATCTACCATATACATGTAGCTGGGATTTTTTGAACATTCATGAAAATAAAGTTTGTGAAAATCAATTTAATACAGTTTAAGATGGCTGAAATATACATGTAGAAAATCATGAAAATGAAGCATTAGTGGATCCATTTGCAGAATTTTGGGGTCACGAAAATTTTTTGCTATACGGTATTGTCTTCTTGCTTACATGTACATGTGTAGATGTACATGTGTATCTTTGCTGTACATGTATGCATACTATTGTATAGTAAAAGAAATTAAACTGTTAAGTGTCAATTTTTCTCCTTTTATTTCTAGGCCATTTCTTCCAGTCAGCCCAACTCCCATGACGTCATCAGCAGGTGATGTGTTTCAAGGTCTCAAGAATCACTCAATACTCTATGTACTACACCACTCCACCCCTCTCTCCTCACTAGACCCGTATGAAGTCATAGATATCCTAAAACTCCGCCCAGACTCCTCCCTCAATCTCCCGGCCATGTCTCCTCCCTTTGATATCATCATGTCTCCAAAGCAGCACTCCTCCTCCTCAACCAGCCTGCAGCCTGAGCAAGAGAGGGATATCAATACATTCCGTGGGTTCTGCTCCCTTAAACTCATCATGGAGGCAGTTTGGTATTCTATCCTTCTATCCAATGGTATTCAAACTTTTGTGTCTACTGGTACGACCGGTGAGCCTAAGAAGGAGGCTGGTGATGGGGTATTGGCTAGGCCTAAATCAAAAGTCTCCCGTAAACTTGATCTGGGTCAGTCGGACGAGCTGTCAGCCGGAGATGATTTAGTTTCCTCATTATCCTCCACTAGCAATACCTCATTGTATGCTACTGAAGTGACCAGACGATTAGAAGAAGCAAAGTCTCACTTATCTGCCGTTTTCCCACTTAACTTCCGCTTAGAAGTTCTAGAGAACATTTTCTCTCTTTTATTCCTAGTCAGTGATGATATTCAGTCGCCTGAAGAAGGAGGGAGTGATCATGAAGCAACTGATCCTACCTCTTCTATACACAGCACCAGCTCTCCTGACAATAGCAGTTTCTCTTATTCTAATTCAATTGCTTTCATTCGTAAGCAGCACGGGTTCCTACTGGATGAGAGGACATCACGGGATATTCTCCTACTTCTCAATGATAGTATTTTCGAGCTCTCTGCTGCTAAATTCTCTTTGCTTAGCTCCCCCGGGAAGCCAATGGGGTCCGCCTTACCTCCTGGGAAAGAAATCCTTTCCTCCATCCCACCTGCACTTTTACAGCAACGGTTTGGGAAATTGCAGAAAGACATTTACGAAGCAAAGTGGCGTCTTGAGCTAGTTTCATCAAAGACTGGATTGTCCTCACTCTCCTCTTCAACCCTCTCCTCTCCCGAGAGCATTTCATCTTACGAGAGTCTTTCTGATACAAGCGAGCAGGAAGACGACATAGAAGAACACAAGAAAGAGCCCGACTTAATAAGAAAAGGACGACCTCACGACTTGTTTAATGAAGCTGGGAAGAGACCCACGACACCTTTCAAACCCTCGTTCCCACTACTTGCCAAAGAAGGTTCTCAAATCCCTCGTAAGACTGATGAAGCTAGTCCTAAGAAACCCACAGAGCGTTACATAAGGAAGTCTCCATCGGCTGATGAGATATACGAGTCTAGTGGCCATTGTGCTGATGTGGAGGAAGGCTCTCCTATGCCTCTAGCAAAGAAGAAGAAAATTAGATCTCATTCTGGCTCCGAGTTCAAGATCAGGAAGATCAAGTCCCAGCCTGTTCAAAAGGGAACTGGGATTATTTGTCAAATGCTTGCATCACCGAAAAGCCTTTTATGTAAGTGTCTGAGACATGGGAACTACCTGAAGGCACACGAGGTTGTTAAGATGTTTGGGATGGAGAACGAAATTGGTGACTCTCTTGTTAAATTCTCCGAACAGCTCAAAGAAGTGAGACAAGAGCTAGTATCTCATACACAGGCCTCCTCCCTCCCATCAGCTGCTGTGACTCCACAGAAGCAAGTAGTGGTGAATGGCTCTAGTGGACTTCAGGTAGCCATCTTGAATGCTACAGACTGTTCTTCTACTTTAGATTCACTCAATAGGCTAGTCCTACCTACTGTACTACATAAAATGCTTTTCGCCGGGAATGAGGATTTAGATCATTCTCACAAAGAAATGCCACTACTCAATTCACTGGAGGAGAATGTCCCGAGTCTAGTGATACTGGATTTATTGATTAGCAGCAAGATTGATGGCCACACCTCTAAAAAGATAGTCAATATGGCGGTAGAGAAGTCTAGTGTCGTATTAGATTGCTTCTCTCCTAAATTAAGCGATAATTTGGTCGGTGGTAGGAGAAGTTTCCAAGAGCGACGCTCAGCAAGCCTCCTAGATAAGCCACTTCAGGGTCCACTGAGCCTCCTTCATACTCTATCAGAAGTCTCAGGCTACTTCCTTCTCTCTATCCCTCTAGCTGCCCCCTTTCCTCTCTCATGCCAGCCCATTGTCTCCCCTCACTGTCTACTCACTCAGTTCTTGTATCCGATTCGTGTTGACCTCATACAGTCCTGGAGGGACTTCTCTGAGTCTTATGGGGAGAAACGAGAGTCTGTAGAGTCTGTCATTGCAAAGAGTTGTATTGATACGGATATATTGGATGTGTTATCTAAGAAGGAGTCAGCTAGAGGGATTAATCCTGTTTTTAATGAGCTCTCCATTGCCATGAGGTCCCTGCCACAAGATGGGGATACTCCTAAGGCTGAGGGTGGGGAGTCCAGTGTTCAGTATCTGCTGCATGTCAGTGGGTACCTCTCTAAGCTAGTGCATCTGCTGCGTAACTCTCTTGGACTCTCAAGTGCTCAAGGTAGAGTTAATTTATCTAATCTTTAGTTTAAAAGTACTGTATATTTATCGGTATTATTATTACTTCTTTATTGCTATTTTGATTATTATACTTAATTTGTTGATTATTTGCATTTTAGTTTCTCCATCTCAAATGTTGTCTGTGCTGCGTGAAAGTCCAACAGATTTGATTGGCAAACTTGTATTTGAAAAGAACATCAACCCAGAGAGGTACAGTACAGTAGTCATCAGTGCATACACATGCATGTAGCCATGTACATGTACTACTCTTGATTGTATACAGTGAATAGTAAACCTGGTCTCATTGTTCTTTATGAATCTAAGTCCAAGACTAATTGTACATGTAATTGTTGCTGTTTTCAATTCTTTTGTAGGTTGGAGCAGTTCATGACTGATCTTCCCCACTTGAAGATAGTTGAAGTTATTGTTAAGTGTTGCTGTCCTCACATACCCAATGACTCACAAAGACTGAGTATGTAATGAATGTATATACATGTACATGTACATGTACAGCCTCTAGCCCATTTGCCCTTTAATAAAATTTACTTAATTCTACACATGTACATGTAACTTGGTTTGTACATGTACAGTTGTAGGCTGTCATTTTGATTTAATGTAGTGTTTGATTCAAACATTATATTTAGTATTATGTTTTATGACTACTGTACACTACATGTACTTGTACATGTAGCTACATGCACTGCATGTATAACATGAACAGTATTTGTAGTAATATTGAAAATTTATGGAACAAACTTATATGTACAGTATATTAAGTTGAAATTCATTCAGGGAGAACCCTGGATTCTTCCCCTGAAAGAATCCATTTTATTGTATTTTGCTACCAAATTTAATTTCTTTTATTTATTATTAGGCTCCTATCCATTAATGAATGAGTGTATCTATCCACTCAATGTGATCAATGGAGAGGAGTCTGTCTCTCCCAATGGCAATGGGAGTGAAGATGAGAATGATCCTTGTCTCCTCTCACATAAACTCCTGGGGAAAATGACAACAACACTTAAAGGTTAGTAGAACGTACTAGCTTATACATGTATGTATACATGTACATGTACATGTAGTAATTGAGTAATATTAAATTGATCATCACATTAGCATAATTGGGCGAAGCCCACTAAGATGAGTAGAGTTTGTTTGTTTGTATGTACACGTACGTATTCCGTATCTCCTCTATATATCCGCACATGCCTTGCAGTGCAAAAGATTCTAAATTTCAATATTTCATTGCAAGTGGGAGCGGCCGAATGAAAATAAAATAGCGATCACCACACGGGAATCAGAAGTCATGATTTTCCTACTTCCTAGCAACAAGATAAGGCAAAAACACGGTCCAAAGACTTCTCCAACTGCTTGAAAAGGTTACAGGTGCAATTAAGTAACTATGAAACTCCTTTTTGTTGAGATAAACTGTGAAAATCAAAAATATGTCACCTTTGTCACTGACTGCACTAAACTGGCCAGCCTATTTATATCTTATGGTCAGTGTAGCAAGGCTTAAAGTAAAAAACAAGTCAGGAGTTTTCTAGCAGCAACTTAAGGTAGAGATTCTGCTTTTTTGCAGCTAATAATCTATGAGGCTGAGCCCTTGAATGTTTTGCATTGTTTCTAGTACAATTACTACCATTACTACATATAATGTATCTAATATGTGTACATATTTACATTGTATCTCTTTATTATTCTACCAGGTCTGTGTCAGACTGATGGTGGTAAGATACTGGCCCTTGACCTTAGGAATGCGTACAAGATGACAGAAATGAAGAAAGTCCTCTCCTGTACATCCAAGCTAGCCTCAATCTCCCTCTCATCACTTAAGAACGAGCCAAACCGACAGATAGCATTCTTTTGCAACGTGACCAATCTCCTCTATTGTCATGCCATCATGTACATTATTAGTGTTTCTGATGACATATCTGCCACTGGACTATCACTCGCTTCTCTTGAATCAGACAAGCTGGCGAAGATTGCCTATTTTTCAAGAGTTGGATATGTGATTGGAGAATTAGGATTAGTGAGGTAAGGGAGAGGGGGGAGAGAGAGAATGACAGAAGCCTGTAGAGTTGCATGAAGAGAAAGAGAAAGCAAAATAGGACTCATGAAAAATGTTCTCACAATTTACATGTACATGTACATGTACTGGTGTAATGTAGTACACAAGATGGCCTATAGCTTTAAAATTCATGAAAATTGATTTTTTTAAACTTACAACTGTATAGATGCACATTCTACATCTACAGTACATGAAACTTACTTATGTATATTAATTTTGTGTAGTTTGTATGACCTCCATTACTCATTGCTGAGACAGAATCTCTCCCTCCCTGTACTTGATAAAGAGCGTAAAGTTAAACTCCAGCCACTGAAAACAATATATGAGCCATGGAAGGAATATGCACCATCACAGCCCGACCCTAGAGTCCTCTATGTCATTGGAACTGGTTCACTGAGCAGCCCACCACCAAGAGTGAGTCTTTATTAATGTACTAAACAGTACTAAATGTGCATGTGAAATTAATTATTTAGTTACAGCGTAAAACATGATTATTATAATTTTGAAAATAGTGCTTGTGATTTTTATGTACATGTAATTATGTGTACATTTTGTTTTTTTTTTTGGCTTATTAAAATTGTCCATGAAAGTGAAAATGAACTTATCTAAATTCTAGGCATACATGTACATGCACAGTCTAGATTTGTTAGCTTATGTTTATTATGCATGTACATTTGTACATGTACGTGTATTTGCTTATTTAACATGTATATTACTTTAGTTAATGCAAGTTGAGCACCTTCACTCTGATCTTGAGTCAGCAGAGATCAAGTTCCTCAGAGCAACCGTTTCACTTGATGTCCAGAAATCAACAGTAAGTTAATCCTTTAACCATTAATGCTGAACTTACTCTATTCATCTTGCTAATTTTGATTTACATGTACAACATGTACATTGTACATGTACCATATTTGCCTGATTAGAAGCCCTGGCGTTTATTCATTAACAAGGGGAAAAATTGCATAAAAAGAAAAAAACTGCCAAAAGCTGGGATTGAACCCTGTTCCTTAGGTCACCAGACTGTGCTTCAAGAGCTGTGCTATTTGGGCAATCTATAGTTGAAGTTACCTAAATTGGATAAAATATCCACATCTATACTGAGAATATTTTAAGGGTGGGTGCTTATTTAAGCTACATGTAGGCTTCTAATCAGGCAAATATGGTACATGTCTGATCATGCAAAAATTGTTATTCTATTTTATTTAGGTTAGAATTCCAAAGCTGCTAGATGACCACAGGAACGATTTTATATCCCGAAAGTCTCGTTTTGAGCCGGACAATCCATACAGACACTTATCAAACATTGCACTATTGAAGTACATCAAAGGGAAACTCCTCAAAGAACAGGAGGAGCAGATTGGACAGATATTAGACTTATACGAAAATACAAGCAAACGTAGTAAAGCCTCACACGATCTTAAAATTGAAGTAATCGACGAAGACTACACACTGGGGTATGACTTCCCACGTCGTGGAGATGGACAATCCCCGCTATTGCCACGCTCTCACTCACCAGGGAAGAAAAATAGAAGACTCTATTCCAAGATCAAGCACTATACATTCACTCATGAGACAATGTACTTTGTACAGTCCCAGGCACCACTCCTAGCCTCTCTAGTGTATCTGTTATGCCCACCGGAGAACATGGACGATATTGGTATACTAAATGAGAGCAGCCTAACAGAGTCTATAATCTCCAAGGAGGAGAAGGAGCAAGGAGAGAGCTCACTTGTCCAGTCTTTCATGCCTAGGAAGGCTAAGATCCGTCAGATCCCCGAGGTAAAGAGGTCTCTCTCTTTGACGGATGATAAGAATCCAGTCGGTTCCTTCCTAGGCTGGGAAACAACTCTAGAGAAGATACTCTCTTTATTTAGAGCTAGTTCTCCATTAAAGAAGTTTTTAGCGACACGTCTGGTGTGTTTCAAGGGTCTCCTCTCGTGGGACAAGTCAGCTCAGGAGTGTCCAGATGATCAACAAGAAGACGACAAATCCATTAATTTGAGAAAGCTGTCAATGCTCCCTGGAGACAGCTCTGATATCTCTCAAGCCTGCTCTTTTGTGCTACGCAAGTTATTACGACACGGGCTCATATCCGAAGGTATTGCCTTTTTAAGAAACGAGCCTTTGATATGCAACAGTGTTGTAATGCAGACAGTCACTGATCTTGTCTGTAGTGCTGGTCTAGTTCATGAGACTAAAGAGAGAGAATCAATCAGTCAAGAAGCAATAGATCAGCCTGTACTAGTTGACCCACTGATACTGATATACTTGCACTCAAATAAAGAGTTTGCCACTCGCCTTGTCCTCTCCTCATTAGAGATATGGCCAGTCTCCTATTGTGTCAATATACTCATGTACATCAATTACCATCTACCCCCCACCTCTCAGCTCTCGGCTATTGTGAGTAAGAAACTGAAGCAGCTTTACGTGTATGAGAAGATAATAGAGACAGTTGAGGTCCATAATGGTCAGTGCTCATGGGGTCATTGGTCTCACCTCTCTTATGATTCCAATGAGAAGAAGGACAGCATATTGAAGCTACTGCTGAAGCTAAAGGAGTTCACGTTAGCCAGGGAATGGAACAGAGTCCACCATAACAGTGATGATATTATAATGGTGAGTGATATTTATTATAAATGTACAATGTACATGTCACTGGGTTCATGGGTTGTACTTTGTAGCTCACTTACATGTAGCAAGTTTAGGCTAGTTAGCATGTTTTGTGGTCATAATGTACAATGTACATTGTATATGTACCTGTACTTGGGTATAATGAGTATACGTTGTACTTTCTACTGTAAGTGCATGGTATAAAAGGCTGTTTTTGTTGCTACATGTACATGTACATGTATGTTAATTGAATCTTGTTGCTTTTCCTTTCCATAGCAAATTGAGGAACAATACATATATGAGCTATTGGAAGGAATGGAAGAGCCTGATCGATACACTGCACAAAGCACTCTTGAAGATTTACCATCAAATGCTATGAAACAACAAGTAAATAATACAACAAACAACAGCAACAATAACACGACAGTAATATTTTTCCTTTTGCAATGTATTTTAGGCAAAGGAATAATAATGTAATTTATCTTTTATTTTTGCAGGTTTGTGAAAATTTGCTTGTGAAGTGTTTCAATTTGGAGAGCCTAATATTAATTTTACGCTTCCTCCTTGATAAACTCTCCTTCCAAATACAATCAGCTGAAAAGCTCAAGAATCTTAATAATCAGTTGCTAGGTGTAAAGGCTCTTCTCTGTCTGCCTCACTTTGTACAGGAGCAGTATCGGTCACTCATGAAAAGACCTTTGTTTATTGTGGAGCAACTGCTTATTGATCTAAAGGTAATATTAATAATTATAAGTATTTACATGTAAATGTATTAACAATGTACCTACATTATGCATGTACATGTAGTAACAAGTATCTTTTATGCATGTACATGTATGTACTTTCAATGTTTTAAGTGTCACTTTGCTACTGTTTGGTGTGATATACAACGTATGTGTAGCTTTCAAATAACAGTTTATCTGTACAGTAGAACCTCTTTTTATGGACACTCTCTATATACAGCTTCTAGTGTACCAATTATACATAATGACCCCACCATAAAGGATACCTCTGTATAACAGACAAACTTTCTTATCCCAAGATGTCCACTATAGAGGCTACACTATACCGTATAGCTAGAAAATTTGGAGTGCCAAAATTTCGTGAATTGACTCTAAAAGAGGTTCGGAGGTTTAAATTTTGGCGAAATTTTGACTCTGTGTATGCTTTTATGGAACCTTATCAAATGGAAGACCAAAAATTTGGCGAATGACCTCATTTCGCCAAAGTTTTACTCCACCAAATTTTCTAGCTATACGATAGATTATAATGATATATAATTGCTATATACCTTATGGACATGAGTGCATTCACACATGTACAGTACATTTATTACATTGATAGATTGAATGGGCTGGTCTAGTAATCAAGGAGCTCAATGAAGATGAATACATTTGTCAGATGGATACTGATGACTTGCCTCCTCTCAAATATCAAACACACACTCCAGAGGAACCACTCAACCCGTTCACACTACTCATCATGTTCTATGCTGAGAAGGCACTGGAATTCCCATTACCATCATCAAGAGAATGTATGTGATGTATACGTACATGTACATATAAAAAGAACATTTTTGCATGTTCATATCATATACAATTGTACATGTACGGTACATGTATTAATACATGCACATGCACATTTAAGCACATCTTAAGCACAAGTTGACGACATACAGTACATTGAATCCTTTGATACATGTATGTTCAAGCATGTTGTTGCCTGCAGCAGAAAGGTTCTCTATTCCAAGAACTAAGTTTTCCTAAACATGCATGCATGCTGGCTACTGAACTAAAATGACCAGTTTTGGCATGTTATTTTAGTTTTCAATTGGCAATTTTTATTATTTTTTGTCTCACACTAGTTTAGCACATGTACAACTGTACATCTTTTTATTATTTAGATCCGTCTCGTGCCACCTCTCCTTCAGTTCCTTCCACTCCATTCTCTCGTTATGATAGAATGAGATCACCTTCAGAGTCTCCCTCAATACCACCAACACCAAGACACAAGAAAGGAAGGTACATGTACTGCAGCAATACGTGCTTGTACATGTACATGTATTGTATATTCTTACCTACATATGCGTATTACATTGTATGTAGTACATTATATGCATGTACATGTACTTGTACATGTATTTCATGTTTTGTATTATTATACATGTACATGTACATGTACATGTAATTGCATGTGCTACTGCTAAGACTTGTATTTTATGAGATATTAGTTGTAATATTATTACACACTCCTTGTACACATAGTTTTACTAAAAGAAGAATTACTGTATGTTTCTTTTCGTTTTATGTAGGACTAGTAGTTTCTCTACAGTGTTTCCTCCTTCTGACAGACCAAAATACTCACGATTTGAGCCACCACCTCACCCACCAAAGAGAGAGGATTGGAAGACCAGCAACTACTGTGAACTCTGCAATTCTTCATTATTTGGAATGGTAAGTAGTACATGTACATGACTACATGTACATGTACATGTACATGTTGTGTTAAATATTCATTGTCCTCATGCATGTAACTCAGCAATTTTAAAACTTTTTGCAAAACATGCATGTCATATATGTACATGCATGTACATGTATAAGAAAATATAATACAATTTAGAAAATTTTAGAGGTACTGTACATGTACATGTACATGTACAAATTTTTTTGTGAAAAGCATCATATTTTAAAATTTTTGAATGTCATAATCAATACATGAAATCGAACTACATGTAGCATTAATTAGTAAAGTACCACCAGTACTCAGTACATTGTATATCAGTTAGTCCTATTCTCTCTTTAGTTCAGTAAGAGACATCATTGCAGGAGGTGTGGGCGTATGGTCTGTGCTCAGTGCTCCCCTCACTTTATGATTGTTGAAGGATACGGATCGCAACAAAAAGTCTGTAATGACTGCTATGAGTATAACTTCATCACTAGGTAGGTAACATTATTATTATTGCAATGGAAATGATGCATGGTAAAATTGTATTATACATGAACATGTATATGTACATAAGAGTATACTTTTGATGTGCATATACATGTATACATGTACCGTATATCCTTAAATAGAAGCCGCATTCGAATAAACGCCGGGGTAGCAATAGATTTGAACTATAAATACGCAACAGTAGCCCAGGAGCAACTGAGTAGTCTAGTGGATGATGCCTGAAGTTCCAAAAGTCAAAAGCATAAGGTTATGGGTTGGAATCCTGCTCTGGGCCAAAGTTTTTTTTTTATATATTTTTTTGAGATCCAGATACCATTTTAGGAAATAGACACCCAGGCTTTTATTTAAGGAAATACGGTATGTATTTATTAGTAGTTACATGTCTTTTTTATTACTGTACATGTACATGTACATGTACATTAAATGGGATAGAAATACTATTAATGATATAAATGTAAATTATCATTTATTCCCAGCACTACCTCTGATGATCCTCAACTCTCAGATAAAGAGGACGACATAGTGACGCCCACTCAGTATCCGTGGCAACTGTTGCCAGGCGACCCTCACTACAACGAGAACCTACGTACAGAGTTTTGCTATGAGGAGAGTCCCAGTACCACACTGTGTATGGTCATACTGGACTTACTAAGTGATGCTAAAGCCTGTGCTGGCTTTATACTTCACTGCTGTCATAATGTGTCAATGCAACTGGTGGCTGATGACTCTGGACGAGTTAATGAAGAAATTGATCATTACTTTACTATTAAGTATGTATGGGGTTTACTGTTTAGGGCATTGGTCTATTGTGTTTTTTATTGCTAGTATAATGGAGACAATGCTACTCAATGCAAAACTGAAGCTGTTTCATGCTGGGGACAGTCATGGGGTGGAGCTATGTGACACGTAAGATAATAAATTTCATTTAATGTGTGTTTTTAAATTATGAAAATAATAAAATATTTTAGAGGTAGTCTTACAATGCATGTATAGTACAGTACAGTTACATGTACATGTACATGTACATGTAGATGTATATGTAAGTATTAATTACTAATATTCTTATCTTCATTAAAGGTATTTGAGTCGTGTTGATCTTCTGAGGTTGTTAATCTCCTCCAGTTGTTCTGAGATTCCTTCCATTCAAGAGCTAACCAAACCAGATCTTGCAAGGTGAAAGAAATAATTATGTGTACATGTATAACTATGTGTACATTTTGATTGCAAGTTTTGTAGTTGTGGGTGTTTAACAAAGCATTTTAATTTCCAAAAATGTACTTTTTGATGCCCTTATGCTGCATAGACTGTAGAAGCTTGAGCTATTTCCATCCAATAATTTTAAAATTTTGAGCATTTAAAAAATTAGCCAATTTTGAAAGAAGCCCATGGTTTGAAAATTGGCTCTGAAGTCACCTCTAATTTTTATCACATTTTTGATAAGCATTAATGTCCTTATGCTATGTAGAAGTTTTGAAGTGATTCCAACAGATAATTTTCGAGTTATGAGCATTTTAAAAACATGTACATGTACACATTTTATTTGTTTACACAATGTATTTCATTATTATTTTCTTAGGCGTGTGAGGGACAGGTTGGTTGCTGAAGATCGTTTTGAGCTAGCAATGGAAGTGTCCACAAAATGTCAGTTGGATAGCAACACAGTGTGGACTGCCTGGGGTATGGGCTGCATTAAAGCAGGAGAATTTCAAATGGCCAGAGACAAATTCCGCCATTGCTTTCATGTAAGTCTTAACAATACATGTACATGTACATGTACGTGTACAACAGCTACAATTTATGATATTTCTATTATGTTGATTTATTTATATTTTATATTATAGGGTGGTACACAGCTTTCTGGTGGTGCTTTTCTGATTGAGAGAATTGTTGAGCAAATACTATCCTGTCCTCTTGCCTCCATGAAGGTATAATAACTATAATTGTATCTCTATTTACATTATTGTGGGTAATATTGAAGGGTTTAAATTTAGTGGATTTGAGAGTAATTAATTTGTCAAAATAGTCCATTTGAACTTCAATTTTGATGCACATGGTCACAAATTTGCCAAATAAAAACTTTCATTTGCTATACATTTATCAATGCACCAAAATTTTGATGCACATGTACATGTACATGTACCCAAATTACTGTATTCCTACATGTACATGTACTGTACATGCATGCACTTTGATATGGTACTGCTGATACTTGATTTTATTTTTTATTTTTAGAACAGTGATGATTGGAATGATAGCATGAGACTTCTTGTAGAGGTTAGTAGTAGTGCTGTAGTAGTATCATCATCATTATTCTATCATCTTGATTTCCAGCATAAGCAAGACAGCAGTTTTATTACTGATAGAAAATACGAGGAATGTTTGTTTTACTTGAAGAATTATGGTACTGCAGCAGCAATGATTGGCTTTCTTGCTAGACACCATTACTGGAAGGATGCTTGCCAGCAAGCTTATACCAAGGTATAATCTGTGGCTGTCATATTAATGTACATTTGTATGTCTCTGAAAGTGCCTCATATAATTACAATACAGTGTAGCCTCTGAGTAATGGACACTGTGGTATAAGGAAGTTTGTCTGTAATATAGAGGTGTCCTATATGTAGAGGTTATTTATACAGTAGAGAATGTAATTGGTACACTAGGTGCTGTCAGTTCAATAGAAGTGTCTGCTATGAGAATTGTTCATTAAGACTCTAATGCCTGATGATGTTATTGTACAAAATGACTAAAATTAATATCATTAGTATTGCTTTATTTTGAATAAATTTCTCTCACTTTATTAGCATTGCTCCAACGATGTCTTTGTTGATCAGATATGGCTCCCAGCTCTGAAATGTGGTCAGTTGGATAACTTGGAGGAAGCTCTCACACGCATTGACCCTTCACTCTCTGTATGGGAACAATACCTCACTGGAGTCTGTAGATTTCTATCTCAGAGGAAACTATTCCATGTTCTCTATAGAATACAACTATTCATGAAGGTAAAGAAGACTTTTGTATTATAATTTTATTTATTATTTTTAAAATTGTTTTTAGGATTTTGTTCGTGCTGCTATGACTTGCATTAAGTTCTTCATTGGATTCTCAGGTCACAAGACAACCCTCAGTGACCTGTATGGTAGAAAGCATTATCTGGAGACAGCCAGGAATCACTTTAGGACTGCAATTGATGCTAGAGTGAAGAGGAGTGCTAGTTTCAGTACTACAGAACTAGAGGTACATGTACATGTATTACCATTTACTGGTAGCTGGAAATATTCACGGGGAATTAATATTGGCTAATTGGCAGTAGCAGTGAGCATTGGCTAGTATAAAATATGCCATGCTGCTTCATTCTTCACATGATCAATGACAACATTGCAAATGACTACTAAATCACCAATATAAAATCCATCAATTGCTTAAAATCATCAAATTTAACTTGTACCAACATTTCCAGCTACATGTATATAGTATAGCTTTATTGATTCATGTATTGTACATATACATGTATACATGTATATACTGACACTTAGAAACAATTTTTTACTGGCTACATGTGTACATGTACAATTTACATGTATATAATTTTTACTATATTATATTTTATTGTAGGGTCACATGCGAACCATCAGCTTACAAATGAGAGTCATTGATCAACTTCATAAAGCAGCTGCTACTAATAACATCCTCAATAAACCAGTACCAGTCACTAGCATGGGAGACTCTGGTGTCCAACCTTCCACACTGTTTGGGAATGGGGCAGTGAGGGGAGAGGTAGCAGCTCATGTAAGGACTCTAATAAAATAGTGTTTTTTTATTTTTTATTATTTTTAGCTCTTAATTTCTTGTCAAGAATCCCCTGAAGCAGTATTCCAAATAGCATCTGATATAATTTCAGTGTGTTTTAGACCCCATACACTTCTTTAATAATAAATAATCCTTTAAATTTGTAGGCTTATCGTTTGCCAAGTAGTAAAGTTTTCACAGAGGTATCAAAGCAGCTTGCTATGAAAGAAAACTACGTTGGTATTAGAGTTTTGGTTCAAAGTATTCAGAAATCACATTTGATGTCTCCAGAGCTTAATGATGAAGTCTGCATGGCTGCAATCAAAGTCCTCGCCACCCAGACAAAGGAGGTAATGATAGCTAGCAATAACTAACAACAATTGATTATACACTGTACATTTTGAGATTTTCTGTGTCCTTATGCTGCATGTATGATGTATGTACATGTGCATGTACAGTACATGTACATGTAATTAGACCACAATGTTGAGCATTTTATTGGCTTCTTATGTTGTGTACTGTATATTAGTAATGCAGTAGTGTTACTAAGTATGATTCACCCCAAAACAAAATGGCTGCCACGACTTTTAATTAATTTTTTTGTAGCATTTTAAAGTTTTATATCTTAGATTATTAATTCTCTTACAGGCTCGCACATTAGACAAGCATTTGGACAAGCTTGTATCAATGCTAATCAAAGACGAAAATAAGGTAATGGTATTAACTGTATTATTTATTATCAGGATTTTGGGATAGTGTTCACCTTTTTGTCAGTAAATTTTTAATGTTGCTTTGAAATTGGGCCAAAGACCCTGTACTTATTATTGTACTGAATTTTATCAAAAAGGCTAGGAGAGAATTCTCCATTTTTATATTTTTTTCTGATACACATATATGCGTACAAATACCTATGTTGCGTTGAAAGCTTGAGCTAGAGCCAAGTTTTGCCAAAATTGAAAAGAAGAGAATTCTCCATTTTTGTATTTTTTGTACATTATACATGTACAATTTACTTATGTTGTATAGAAAGTTTGAGCACATTCTAATCAAAATTAATTTTTTGAAAAATTTGTAAAGTTGCTCCAAAAATCAATTGGTGGTATAATAGTACTGTATTGTTATTCTAGGTCAATTGTCTTATCCAGTGTGGTAAGTTGAAGAATGCTTATTTGGTAGCAATAAAGGCTAAACTTCCTGAGGAGGTTGAGAGAATCGCTGATGCTGCAGCTCGTGCTGGCCAAACTAGTGTAAGGGACATCTGTGAGAAATGGTTACGGACTAGATCATAACTTTGTGTGTGTGTGTGGTGGAATAATGCAATTTATATTACAGGTATTATTGTTGTTATTATAATTTTGTAAACAGGACGCTGTAATAAATGAACGATTTTACACAAACTTGCACTTTTCAAGAATTATATTGTTGTTTAAATAATTTTCACTCTAATTTATAAATTTTGCAACAAATATTGATATTAATTTTGTTGATAATATTGATAATTATTGCAATATTATTATTACTAACATGTTTCTGCACTGACATTTCATTAGTAAGCAGCTTAATTAGAGTCAGCAATTTAATTAGATTTAGAGTCAGCATTTTTGACTACCTCATGAATATCAAGTATTCTGTTTATTTATTAAACAGTTTAGAGGTAGAGAATGATTTTCTGGTTGTTTCTATTTATTTTTGAGAGCATGGACATTCAGTTATTGTGTTTTGCAACATTGAATCTGTTCATTACCTGGTTTGGGTCTAACAGACTCATTACAATGAATGATACTCATTATAGCATCTGAATATGAATCCCCTAGTCATTATGTCAATTGACCACTGCATATGATAGTAAAGCATAATAGATTTACTTTAAAGGCATATTCTATTTACTTCTTTGATTGTTACTTAATTTATTATTTCCCATTCAAACTATTCTTCATTGTAGTACATGTAGTGGATCAAGTGCAAATACATGTACATCCCTTTGGATTTTGTGCCTTAATAGCATTCCATTCTAGCATGAATAAAAACAAATTAATGCATAATTAATGGTTAATTTACTCATGAATGCAGTACTGATCTAATTTTTCATAAGCTGTACTAGCAAAAGAATGCTTTTTCTATAGTTGATATAATTATGATTATGTAAGTTAGTTATAAATGATGCTGCTGTGTAAATATTAACATTCCCTAGTAAGTTAACTTGTGCAATTAACTCATTATGTAGTGAGTCATTTAGAGTTATTATCCAGCTCATGTTACCATTTTTTTGTTTAGTAAACAGCTTGGAATCAGAATAATGTCTTTCTGGTTGTTTCTTTTATTACTGCAACAAGTATCATCTCAAAATTTTGGTTCTCTTTCTCCTCTTCCGAATTCTGGTCAGTTTATTGTGTATATACTGTAGTGACTATGGTTAAACCAATAGGTGTCAGATTGTTTCTTGGTGAGGAGAATATTACTATTGCTAATTTCTCAATGATAGCTGCTGGCCTGTTTCATGATATAGATGTTGATAGTCCTGATGGTAATGCTACTAATAATCCTATTAGTGCTGATGGTCAGAATGATGGTTTGTGGTGTCAGAGTTCTCTTAATCAAAATATGATAGGAACATGGTATTATCCTGATGGAACAACTGTACCATTGGGATTTGGTAGTCCCTTGTTTGCTAACAACACTGCTACTGGTCAAATTGGTTTGTTAAGAAATGGAGGAATAGACATTCAAGGACTGTACAGCTGTGTTATACCAAATGAAGAAGGAATTAATCAGACACTGTATGTTGCTGCTTATGGTAATACTGATTTTATTAGAAATGATGGTGAGAAAATTCAATTAGAATACTGAAATATTATTTTTATCCTTTTCATCATGTACTTGTAGAACTTCCAGTTATTGATAGCAGTAGTCCTTCCTTCCAGCTCCTCTCATCAGTTGATGCTGATCCTCCAGTGTTTAGTTTGTCATTTAATGTCACTAATAGATCACCAACAATAGTCACTTGCTCTGTTGATAATGGAAACCAGTTTAATGTATCTGATAATGACCTGATACATACTGCAGCAACAGTTAATAATGATGTACAAGTACAAGTACTAGTAACATTTAGAATGAGAATGTCTGGTCTTTTTAAATGTTCTGCTAGTACTGACAGAATTACAACCACACCTTTAGTATCTACTACTATGGCAATGAGGAATATTAGTGGTAAGTATACCTTATTTTTTGATCATGTTAAATGATGTCTTTTTCCCTTCAATAGTAACTGGATCTCCATCAAACTTGACCTACAGCAGAGACAGTCTTTTCTCAGTTACACTAGGTTGGTCTCCCTCAGCAGTGATTAGTGCTACTCCTCAGTATCATGTCTTTGTTAATAACAGTAATAATGTTATTTTAAGTGACTCCACTTTGACTCTCTCATTACGTCCTGATGATGAATATAATATTGGACTAGTAGCTACTGGTGAAGACTTACCTGGTGAAATAATCACTGTCACTGTTTCTCAAGGTATAGTTAATGTAGATGTACACAGTGTATTGTCATTATTTTAATATAATTTCAGCTGTCCATATTAATGCACAAGGGCCAGTTATGATGCCATTGTATCCTTTTTCTTCTTTTTCATTAATGTGTACATTGATATTAGCTCCTACAATGAATAGTACTATGGTGGAAATGTACTGGGCAAGCCCTGATCTCATTCCCTTCAATTTTACAGATGAAAAAGACATATTTTTAGATACTTTAGAGCCTACAATGATATCAGTTAATGATAGTGTTGTACATACACTTATTCTTAACTTCAGTTCATTAAAAGTATCACAAGCCGGAGATTATGTTTGTGGAGCTCTATTGAATGATGGGGCTGGTACTATTAGCATAACATCAAATTATTCTGTGTCCATACAAGGTAAGCATATAAATCATAATTTGTGTCATATTTTTTTTCATTTAATAAGTAAATTACCTATTATTATTAATGACAGTAAATTTATTAGTACTTATTATTATTCATTTTTGATTTTTTTAATTGCAGGGTTTGATTTCAATCACGTTGATATAAGTATCAATATTTCTTCTGTTCCTGTTGCTGGTAATACATTCAACTTATCTTGTGTTATACTTGTACCTCCTAATTTTGTTGAGGATCTTATTAGTGTCAGATGGACTTATGATTTAGAAGCATCTCAAGATGTGACTAGTGAAAACAATGATGCTACACTAGTACCTGTTGTTAGAAATGGAAATATATTCACCAGTGTACTTACACTTGATCCAGTCAAAACAAGTGATGCTGGACAATATTACTGTCAAACAACAATTAATGTATTCAACTATGTAGATTATACTGACATAGATTTAACTGTTCAAAGTTAGTTCTAATTGTTATTTAATTGTTTAAAGCAATATTCTCCTTACTAGCATCTCCTCCCAGTGTATCAATAGTAGCTGATCCTCCAACTGGCCCAATATATGAGAGTACAAGTTACTTACTAACCTGTACAGCTACAGTAAACACTACAATAGTGAATACACCAGTAACTGCTAGTGTAGTATGGACTGATCCTAGTGGTAATGTAATACCAACTAATGAAACAAGACGTCAAGTGATACCTCCAACTGGTAACAGTCTTGTTAGCATGCTATTGTTTCAACCTATTGATACTGGTCTTAATAATGATGGAGGAGCATATACCTGTCAAATGATCATCAATTTGAATAACTCGTTAATAACATTAAGTCAACCTACTAATACTACCTTTGATGTTGCTGTTGAAAGTAAGGTTTATTATGTACTACAATGAATGCTGCTCCTCTATTGCCTACTCTAATTCTCTCCTTTCTCTTTTTGCATGTACTTTCTTCACTCTCATGCTCTCTGTCTTTACACAAATGCACACATTCTCTTCTTTCTATCCTACTTATCCTGTCTTGCATTAGGTCTTCCTCTGATGACAGTAAATTTCTCATCAGTTGGTTCAGTTGAAGTTGGTCAGAATCTAACTATAACATGTACCATAACAGCAGTTGAGAGATTGGTAGTAACACCATCGATTACTTTCATAAAAACAAATAATACAGACATGGAAATGCTCTCTGACTTAAATAGACCGTACACTATCACAACAGATGGCACTGGTTCAGTTACTAACTATACTCTAATACTGGATCCAGTGAGGTTTGAAGATTCTGGAATGTATACATGTATGGCTGAGTTTAATGTAACTGGTTTTAATAATACCTATGATTCTAGCACTGCTACTTATGATTATCAAGAGGCTAGTCATGTCTTTAACCTACTAATAAAATGTAAGATCAAACTTTCTTAATGACATTATCAATTAAATTATGGTAAAATATGATTGTTTTATAGTGCCTCCTTTCAGCGTATCGATAGTTGCTGATCCTCCAACTGGTCCAATATATGAGAGTACAAGTTACTTTCTAACCTGTACAGCTACAGTAAACACTACAATAGTGGATACACCAGTAACTGCTAGTGTAGTATGGACTGATCCTAGTGGTAATGTAATACCAACTAATGAAACAAGACGTCAAGTGATACCTCCAACTGGTAACAGTCTTGTAAGCATGCTATTGTTTCAACCTATTGATACTGGTCTTAGTAATGATGGAGGAACATATACCTGCCAAATGATCATCAATTTTAGTAACTCAATAGTAACATTAAGGCAACCTACTAATGCTACCCTTGATGTTACTGTTGAAAGTAAGTTATAATGTAATGAAAACTGCACTTCATTAATCATTCTCCTTCGCATTCCTTATCCTTCGTCTTTTTCTTTTTATCATCTCTTTATTCTTATTTCTTACCAGGTCTTCCTCCAATGACAGTAAATTTCTCATCAGTTGGTTCAGTTGAAGTTGGTCAGAGTCTAACTATAACATGTACCATAATAACAGTTGAGAGATTAGTAGTAACACCATGGATTGCTTTCATGAAAATGAATGATACAGATATGGAAATGCTCTTTAACTTAAATAGACCATACACTATCACAACAGATGATACTGGTTCAGTTATCAACTATACTCTAATACTCGATCCAGTGAGGTTTGAAGATGATGGAATGTATACATGTATGGCTGAGTTTAATGTAACTGGTTTCAATAATACCAATGATCCTAACACTGCTACTTATGATTATCAAGAGGCTAGTGATGTGTTTACATTGATTGTTAACTGTAGGTTAAATGTAAAATGATCTTGTATTTTTAAAATTGTTAAAATTATTTTGATGCATTTTTTATGTAAATAATGTACCTCTAGCCTTTAGATTCATTTTTTCTACTCTTTATGCAGGTACCATTCTACCCTTTGTAGCTACATCTGTAACAACTATTCCGGGAACAACAAGTGCTAATATATCCTTTATTATACCAAAAACTTCTTATGCAATTGAAATTTATAGCATCAGTTATACTGGACAATATTTTCAGGCAACACAAGCAGTTTCAATGACTAGGATGAGTTCTAGCTTTGTTAATAAACCTATCACAATAATGTTGACTGGTCTTGAGGAAGACAATGTTTATCAGTTTACAGTTGATTCTAGCAACTGTTTAGGTACAACCCAAACTGGAGTGTTAAATTTTACTACACTGCCGGCATGTAAGTCAAAGACTTTTAGATACATTGATACTATTCTACAGACACTCTCTGTCTCTCTTATTTTTTATATCTTTATAGCACCAGTTGCTTCTCCAGTGGATTGTGCTAATATAACATTTTTATCATATAATGTCACACTTGCCTGGACTGCACCAGCACTAATAGATCAAAATGGAGCACCAGTTGGTTATAATTTAACATGCATGAATACTAAAGGTGTATCAGTTAATGGATTGAGCCCAACACAAACTTCAATGAACACAATGTTCACTATTACTGATGTTATGCCTTTTACTGGTTACACTTGTGATCTGTCATTCATTAATGTAGTAGGAGAAGGACCATTTACCCAGTGTGCATTTGAAACAGCTCAAGATAGTAAGTAAAGCTTATTGATATGTATTACCAAGTGATTTTGAATTTTGCTCACTTCCACACTATTTTGTGATCGGGGCCATAAATGACATTTGAGATCTCTAGACTAGTACTGCTAAACTATCTAAAGCAATTATTATCACTTTTTTCTCTTGAATCTTTATAGCACCTAATGATGGACCACAGAACTTTGTTTCTTCCCCAACAATGACAACAGTTACATTTATGTGGAGCAAACCATCAATACCTAATGGAATAATCACTGAGTATAAACTCAGGGTTGCAAACGTTGAGACAAATAATGATACAGTTCGCAGCATACCTGTACCTCCTGGTCAAATTGATATAATGTACACTGTTGATATGAAAGGATTCTTCAGTGCTTATAATAATTACACTGCCACTGTCACTGCTAGTACTGTCATTGGGTTTGGGCCCATATCTACTACTAGGGGAAGGACACTACCAGACAGTGAGTATTCTTTCCATTTTTACTATAATCATAATTATTTTAAAACTTCATTATCTTATTATTATTTTTTATAGTGTCTAGTCCTCCACTATTAAATACAAGGAGTTTTACTATATCAAATACAGAATTCACTACAATAGAATCAATTGATAATCACACCATTAATGTTACATGGTTTCCTCCTACTACACCAAATGGACAGATTATGAACTATACTATTGATGTTAATGAATATAGTGGAGCTAAATTATTAAGACGTACAGTGACTGATGTTAACAAGGATAAGTTTACTGATTTAATTTATAATACAATGTTAAGTGAGTATTGTATTATTTTGGGGGGAATTATTTTATTTATTATTTTATGGGAGGAATCAAACATAGCTATAAATCCACATTATTGTATATGCATGTTCAATAAAAATGGGTTTGTTCATTTTAATTTTAGCTTTTTTTAGCCCCTGGTGTACCATATACTATCACTCTGGTTGCTTATAATGAATTTGGTAGAGGAATGCCAATTGAAGTCACTGTCTTTACTAAAATTTTGAGTAAGTGCATGTGTGCGTATTATTTATGTGCAATGTATATGTAATCTCTATATATATGTACATGTTATTCAACTGTGTATAGCCTTTTTTTACATATATGAGTGTGTTTTCTTTTTATTTTCCTTTCTTATCGTTTACTTTTTTATTGCCTTATTTTTATCTATTTTTCTTTCTAATACTAGCTCCTAGTGTATCTCCATCAGGCATTACAGTGATCAGATCTGCTGATGGTAAAAATGTGACAATAACATGGAATCGTATTACTTTGAAAGAAGCTCGTGGCTTCTTTGAATATACAATAAGACTATCAACAAAATCCAGCAGAAAGAGACAGACAGGAGAGTTAGCATACAGAGTTCCTTACACAGATACCAGTTATACAGCTACTGGTCTTAATGGCCAGGCTGCTTATGCTGTATCAATGGGTCTGTCTGTTGATGATGGGCTTGGTCAGGGACCTATTGCTGGACCTACTAGCAATCCTATTGAGATAGCCTCCCCAGGTTTCTTATAAATACATGTAATAATAGATTGTGTTTTGTGAATTGCTAGAATTAGAATGTGTACTTGTATGTGTGTAATATGTAGCATAATTATGGTGCATTACATCATTATGGAATCCTTTAGATCCCTATACTTGTATCATGGAAACCACAGTCAGTACTGATCGTGGTATGTTTGAATGGCCAGTTACAGCATTAGGCAGTACAGCAAATGTGTCATGTCCTAATGGTCCTACTGGAGCTGTTGCAACTAGAAGATGTGTTACTAATAGCACATGGGAATCACCTAACATAACATCCTGTGCAACCACTGAGGTATCTCGTGAATTTAGAAACATATCAAAAGTAATAAAGACTTGATGTGTGCGGATGTCATTACTTGCATTCAATAGATAAATATTACTACTGACAATGTAGTAACAGTATCTGAGAACCTAACTAATCTAGTGGTCAGTACTACTGATACTGCTGATCAGAATACTGACAACATTGAAGTAGTGTCTACCATATTAAACCAAACAGCAAGACTGCTATCAGATCCTATGATAGTCATGAGCCTGTCATCATCAGAACTGTCAATGGTAGGAATTTATATTAAACTTATTTTATGCTTCATAATATTCTAAAAAGACAACAGAGAACACTGTACAAATACTAGACAGCATAGAGGAATGGTCACCAAATGTGTTAGAGACAGAATCTAACAAGTAACATGAAACTGATTTTGTAAAAATAATTATTAATGATTTTTTTGTAGCATTATCAATTCTTTTGAGAGAATTGTGGATGCATTAATAAATCAAGATAATTTTACTAATATAACAATTATAGAAGATGACATTGCTTTAAAAGGAGAAAGAGTGAGTCTTGATTGTGATTTCTGATTTAATTTAGTTTTATAGTTTCAACAATCAGAATTTAGTGGAATAGTATTTACTGCAGTCTCTTCTGGTAGAGTATAATTTTTAGATAATGAGATTGTATTCTTTATGCTTTATTGTGTTATTTTGAAACCAAATTTACTCACAGCAATGATATTTATATTCTATTGCTTTTTCTTAATTACACTACTACAGATAACAGATTGATTGTTGACACTCAAGTTGAAGATGATGATGCAAATGGTTTGAAGCTTAACAGAATAGCATCAATTGAATTGCCGCAAAGCATTATAAATATTGTTGAGAGTGATACCATTGATTTATCATTCACAATGTACAATCAATCAGTACTCTTTCCTGTTCGAGATCCTCCACCTAATACAATAGTAGGATCATCTGTCATTGGTGCAAGAATTGGTGGAGTAGCTGATGGTACTAAACTAATTGACCCTGTAGTCATTACTCTGTCTCTGAATAGAGTAGCTGTAAGTGATTAAATAAGTAATGATATAATTATTATTCTCTGCTATTAAAGAATGCTAGTAACCCTCGCTGTGTGTACTGGAATTTTACTATTGCAGGTAGCTATAAATTACATGTGGTTTCTATAAATTTAATGGTTTGCCTTTTACTTATGATGTAGATGGCAGGGGTAATTGGTCTACTGATGGTTGTAATACAACACTTAATACTACTGATGATCTCAGTTTCATAGCTTGCCATTGTGATCATTTGACTAATTTTGCTTGTCTTGTGGTGAGAAATTAATCACAATGACACTACATATGCAGCTACTTAATGTCTTTATAGGATGTATCTGCTAGAGTCAGTGAACCTACCCAACCCCCTCAATATGTCACTGTTACACTAGAAGTTGTATCAATTGTTGGTGTGTGTCTCTCACTAGTGGGACTAGTACTAACAATTATCACTTTAATTATATTCAAGTGAGCATGCATTTATTGTATTTTTTAAATTATGCATGAACTTTTTGTAATAGGAAACTGAGGACAAGGGAAGCTAGCAAATTTCACATTCAACTTTGCCTCTCATTAATATTTATGCTAGCAGTTTTTGTGAGTGGTATTGATAGAGTATTAGTGAGAGCTGGTTGTATAACAGTTGGTGTTCTCATACATTACTTTGCTCTTGTTGCCTGGATGTGGATGGGAGCTGAGGCTTTACTAATGTTTCAGAAACTAGTCATTGTATTCACAGACATAACATGGAAATATTTAGTTGGTATCTCATTTATATGCTGGAGTAAGAATATGATTATACAACAATGATTTTTCATGTTCTATTAGCTCTACCACTTATACCAGTTATAATCACATTAGTAATTGATGCTGATTTCTACATTTATTTATACGAACCAGAAAACGAGTCTGGATTGTAAGTGGCAATGTATTTATTTTCATTATGCTTTATTGATCTTTTGTTTATTAGTTGTTTCATTAGTGACATTATCCCTTTTATTGCTGCTTTTCTACTTCCAGTCTTTGTCATACTTATCTTCAACATTATTATATATGTCATCATTATTCGTGTTCTTATTCTCCACACTATTCGTAAGAACAAGAGAATGAGTAAGTCTCACCTCACCACATCTGAAGCAGTAAAATTGATATTATCTTTTTCTGGTATTTTGATGCTGTTTGGTCTTACATGGTTATCTGCTGTCTTCACATTTATTACTGAGCCTAACATCTCATTCACAGTTCAGTTCTTCTTTGCTTTCTTCAATGCTTTTCAAGGATTCTTTATATTCTTCTTTTTTGTCATCCTGAGCAGTGACTCAAGAGATGCTTGGAGGTCACTCCTCTGCCCTTGGACTCTTGAAGACAAAAAGAAGCCACAAATATCCACAACTGTTAAAAGCAAAACTTTAAATAGTAAAACCACGTCACTGCAGAAGAAAAATGCACCAAGAAATTTAATTTTAAGTTACGGAGAAAAAAGTATGCCTGATGAAAAACAGGCAGAATTTACTGATAAATTAATATTTGAGAATGAAGCAATTTTTGAAGACGAGGTATTTTCTATCGATGACGAGTTCATGATGTCCGAGTTCAATAATATTCGTTTTGATCGTCAACTTTCTACTCGATGTAAACATCTTGTAGAAAAAATTGAGATTGACTTTTTTGATGCCAATGAAGATGATTGAAATGTGAAGCATAAACTTTTTCATTGATAGTTAATTAGTCACTGACAGTGATTTAATTTAATTTTTGTTACAGTTGCATGTCTAGACATAGATCAGCTTAATCTCTTGTTAATGCATTTAAAATTGTTATTTTCGTCTAATTTCGTTTGTAGTCATCAATTTCATATTTTGATTTAGTGAATAGTGAGATCAATGTGTGTTATATTATTTTGTGTGGTGCATCTTATTCCACTAACATTATACTTTTAACAAAATGGTTTTAATGTCATTTTTTTAAAGCAGAGATTTCTGTGGCAGCACTAGTCTAGTTCTTTACTATCCTTTAAATAGTTTCATGTTGCATTGAGATTTTGAAGGATTGGTATATTGCTTGGCTTTTTGTCAGTACATTTTCAAGTTGCTAAAAAATCTGATCAAAACCCTAGTATGAGCAAGACAATGAATGGTATAAGCCATTTTTCTCATTCATACGCAAATGTACATTTTCTATGGAAATTTCAAGCTCATTCTAATGAAAATTGCATTTTTTATAAACTTAAAACAATCTGTGAATAATCCTTTATTCATAGATTGTTCTTGTTATTGATAGTATATAGCTCTATAATTTAAACAGGTACTGACCGGATTATCCATTGGTATGTGGAGTGTCTTACCATTGTAGTAATTATTAGTAGATCCAGTCAATGAAGATACTACTAGAACAATTGATAGGATCATCAATAGGACACTCATCTTGAAGTGGTAGCATGATTGTTCCCCTTATAATTACATTGTTTACTAAACAATAAACGCTGTGGTGCATGTCTTGCACCAGATTGAATAACATACCCATTGTAGTAATTAGTTTCATTTTAGTCAAATTACTGTATATATGCTGGAGAATAGTCTGGGTGGTGAGACTATAGCTGCAATTAATGATGGTACTTGCAATCATTTCCTGTCTCATTGTGAAGGTGTGAAGGTGTGAAGAGGTGTAAAGGGAACTTGTGAACAAGGAGCTTAAAATTGATTTGATAATCAAAAAATTTCTTTAAAAATTAGATTATTGCTTTCAACATAAGCAATATAAGCTTTTAAAATAATATCAAGCATCAAAATTAATATTAAAATCAAACCCCAGTTCATTCCTAATAGCTTCAATCCAGTCCTGGTGTAAGGCTGTTGCTGCATAAGCAAAACTGCCACTAACTGCAATGAATGAGTTTAAGAACTTTTGACAGTGCTCCTGTACTTGCAGTAACTTCCGCTGAAAAGTAAGACCAGCTTTAAACTCATCGATAAATTTCTCCATTGAAGGATTTCCTCTGACAGCATTGTTGATCAAACAAAGAGCAAATAATTTATTGGCAAGATCAGGGACAGTTTCCATTGGTAGTGACATAAGATCAGCATAATGAGATACAAAAACATCATTGATGACTTTCTTTACTTTATTGACTTCAACAGTAGCTGATGGGCCTAATAGAGGTCAAAAGTCAGTATATATATATATATATACACACCGTATTATCAATTACTAGCTCCTCCAGTGGATGACTATGATACTGACATTGATTCATGTTCTACATTAGAGGAGGAAGTAGTAGGATTTGATTAATATGAAACAAGTAAGCAATTGAAATTATTTATGTATTACTTATTAATGAAGGAGTACTTCTCAGTGATCGGTGAATGAATAATGTCTTAGGATCAGCCACTCCATCCAGTGGTATAGAATAGTGCAATGATGGTACAGCATCAGGTGATCCATATACTGATATCAGGCAACGTGACGGAAAAGGATAATTAGCATCACCAAACTTATCAACATCACAACGTAGAAACTATTAATATTGATCAGTTACACCTTACATCTACAACTCCGCTGAAGTTAGCAGCACATTTTGCAGCAGCACATTCCTCACTTCAAATTGATTAAATTTTTGTGGTCGAAGCCTTATAACAAGGGTGGGGCTGGATTAGAACTTGGGTGGAGCTGGTTGCTGCGCTCGAGCGATCATAATTACTGTTTATACCGATAGATTATAAGATGTTCTTTTATAGGACAAAAAGAGCAAGTCAAGAGAACACTTAAGGTTGCTAGATTAATATCTGTTGTTCTTTTTATAGGACAAAAAGTGTAGGTCAAGAGAATAATATTTAGTGACTTTTTTTGATACTAAGCTACGTTAAAGAATTAATACAAAGGACTATCAGGCACCATAGTATCTATGCAGGCACTTGACCATAAGTGCAAGATGAAGATTGTTTACATCACATATCTGATATCATGAATTGTGACATTTTAAGCATCATTATTTTATTATTATTACTATATAATGTTTTACAACACACAGGACAAGTGGAAGGGAGAGTAAGATATGAGACTTAGAGAGGGTTGAGTTTGTTCCACAGTTGGACAATTCTATTGAAATAAATCTAAAAACGAGTATGATGTTTAAGTATAGTTGTGAATCAGTTTATGGACAGTGGACAATGTAGTAGAATTAGTGGAAAAAGGAGACAAATCAAGCAAGACAGGAAAGCTATTTGAAGGGATCTTAATGGCTTTGACAATGAAGTTCATGCCAGTACATGAGAGAAAGAAGTGAGACGTTGATTAAGCGTTCTCTGAAACTAGTAGAATAGTCCAATAGGATCTGTTTTGTCAGATTCTTTACAGCATCAGGATGTCCTTAGGGATTAAAACCGCTTTTGTCCTTATTTATGGGCGTGTGAACTCTACCCACCCTCATCGTATCCGAAATGTCTTTCCCTACATTAAGATACATACATTAGTCGATATTAAATGTCTGTACCTGTTGCACTTCTCCATAAATAAGAGGATTTGTTTCTTTTAAACCGCTTTCGTCCTTATTTATGGGCGTGTGGACTCCACCCACCTTCATCATATCCAAAATGTCGTTCACTACATTAAGATACATACATTAGTTGATATTAAATGTCTGTACTTGTTGCACTTCTCCATAAATAAGAGGATTTCGTCCTTATTTATGGGCGTGTGGACTCCACCCACCTTCATCATATCCGAAATGTCGTTCACTACATTAAGATACATACATTAGTCGATATTAAATGTCTGTACCTGTTGCACTTCTCCATAAATAAGAGGATTTCTTTCTTTAAAACTGCTTTCGTCCTTATTTATGGGCGTGTGGACTCCACCCACCCTCATCGTATCCGAAATGTCGTTCACTACATTAAGATACATATATTAGTCGATATTTTGTGTCTCTACCTGTTGCACTTCTCCATAAAAAAGAGGATTTGTCATTTTTAAACCGCTTTCGGCCTTATTTATGGGCGTGTGGACTCCACCCACCCTCATTGTATCCAAATGTCGTTCACTACATTAAGATACATACATTAGTCGATATTTTGTGTCTCTACCTGTTGCACTTCTCCATAAATAAGAGGATTTGTCATTTTAAAACCGCTTTCGTCCTTATTTATGGGCGTGTGGGCTCCACCCACCTTCATCGTATCCGAAATATCGTTCCCTACATTAAGATACATACATTAGTCGATATTAAATGTCTGTACCTGTTGCACTTCTCCATATATAAGAGGATTTGTTATTTTAAAACTGCTTTCGTCCTTATTTATGGGCGTGTGGACTCCACCCACCCTCATCGTATCCGAAATGTCGTTCACTACATTAAGATACATACATTAGTCGATATTTCGTGTCTGTACCTGTTGCACTTCATAAATAAGAGGATTTGTTTCTTTAAAATGTGCTTTTCTCCATATTTATGGGCGTGTGGACTCCACCCACCCTCATCGTATCTGAAATTTTGAAGACAACATACATAAGGATGCAGTAGATTGTGATGTTTTCGTTTACATGGTAAGATATGACCTTAAATTATTGCACTAATTTTTCTTAAAACAATGCAGGTAGCAAATATTTCATTGAAAAAAGAAAATGAATTATTGTCAAGTAATAGTACAATTATTATTTTAAGTATAAAAGTATTATACTTAATTTTGTAGGATGATATGGAGAATGCAAGAATTGAAATTCTGGGAATTATTTTGAATTCATGTAAGATACTTGACTGCATGCATGATTATTTTCATTGAAATGCAGCTGGCCAAGCATCAATACCTTTCAGTAATGAAGCACTATGGTGCAATGGACTCGCCTGCTGGAATTCACCTGAGTGATATGTATTACTTGTACTGTGAAATTTTAAGCAATTTGAAAATAATAATTATTATTGACTGCATACTTATATAAACGAGACACCTACGGTGCATGGCCTCGCCCCTATGCTGCTATGGTGCATGCCTGCACTGCAATAGCTGTTTGATTATCAGCATGAAGAGAGTCTGCTCAACACTAGCTTCCTGCAGTTGCACTTGCTCTTGAATACCTGCAGAAGTAGCAGCACTGCAGCACATACATGCAAGCAGCTCCAGCCCCTCCCATGCATGTAGATTGAAAGGTGTGGCATTCCATCATAACTGGAATGATTGGCAGCAAGAAGACCATGTGAGAAAGAAGCTTCACTTTTTCTTTACTAATCAGCAATATATGATAAACTTGCTGACAAAAAAGTTGCTGCCTTTGTATATTTGAGATAGTATAGGTACTTTAGTACCTATAACCCAGCAAGTTGTTGCTCTAGCGCTGCACAAACGAGTGACCTCAACAATTTCAAGTAAGTATAACTCTTCATCAAGTAAGATTTAGAGAAATCTGTTCATATTATTTGAAGGCCATGTTCTAATCTACTGAAAAATGCTACCATCTATCTCTAAAGTGCCAACACAACGGAACTTGGCCCATTTGCTCGATTTTCTTACTTTGAAGCTTCTGTACCTAGCACTTGTATTTGAGCAACACAAAACAGTTAAGAAAGACTTTTCCACGCCAAAAAGAAAGATCTAGGAGCTTGAAACATGCTGTGCTAAAGTTATTGTTTATTAAAAACAAATTTCAGTTGTACGGAATGAATGACAGACAGACAGACACAACAACTACCTATACCTCGCGTAGGCGAGGCCAAAAA